CAGAACAGATAAAGGACTGTCAGTCAATCACACTGTAACAATGAGATTAAAAAATATTTCTAATTGCCTGTATTGACACTTGAACCCATCTCCAGGTCTGCTCAGACATGCAAATTCAATCTACTAGAAACTATTCATGATAAACTCAGACCCCTATCTCGACTCTAAACAGTCTGCATGATCAGGGCACATGAAGCCCTCTGGGCTATCAAAAGATTATTGTAAACTGAATTCCAACAATGACTATTTACAATGTATATTTGTCTACGGTAGCCTACAGCTAAAGGTGAGAGAAAGGAGCGGGGGATGAAGGCCATTTTAAACAGTGACAGCTTGGTTTTGAGAAGGAAGACAGGGTTTGATCCCACAATGCAAAGGCACACAGGAGTAATGCTTTTCAGGCAGGATTTACCCAAATTTTTCCAACACAGCAAATGAACAGTTACAGCAAAATCTTCCATTAGGGCAAGGTCTGGTCCATGAACAGTTTTGCACAGCTCTGCATTTGACCAAGACCCCAGCATCCTTACATTTGGTTCCTTGTTGCTTGGCGCTGGGTCTTGGAGGGGTTTAGGGTCTGTAAAAAGGGCTGTTCCACAGCAGGCCTGTGCACAAGAATCAGCGTTTCCGATGCTCCTAAGTCAAACTTGAACTGATGTCATGTACTCCACGTTCTGACTTCTCTTACACCGGAGGTGTTTCCATCCAGGTAGAGTCAGGGCCAGCTTGCCACTGAGGCCTTCCCTGCTCTCCACCTAGCGTGCCCCCCTTCACCCAACCCCAGCACCCAGTAGCAACCATATGGACCAATGCAGCTGCGAAGGAGCAAGGCAGTCCACAGGGGTAAGGGTCAGCCCCCTGATGAGTTCCTTCAAAGCCGGAACTAAAGCTCAGAGAAAGCAGCTGCTTTGTGGACACTGATCTGGATCCGTAGTGAATTAGCTGAACTTAGTGAAATCACAGGAGTCCTTGCTTAACCCCCATCGATTCCAGTGGGGATGATGGGTGCCTAACTTTGCCCATTTCTAGCCCCACAGAATTCAACTGGACCTGCTCCTGAGGAAACAGGTATTGCTACATTGGCCTGGCCTGGTCTACCGAACACAACCAAAAGACTTCCCTATTCGATGGCGGCTGCCCCAAAAGCTTCCTTTCTTCCTGGGATAATGGATATTGTCCATAAAGTTCCCCTGAGTGTTACAGATGTGATGGGAAATGTCCACATACCAAACTTTTCATACCATGGTGGCAAAAGTGTCCTTGCAAAATACCAAAAAAAGATTAAAACAAATCAGCAAAAACAAACATGAATGCGAGCACACGATTCTGGGAGCAGTAGAACATTCCCATGTTTGTGCTTGCATTACAAATGCGCATTGCAAACCCCCTCCACCTCCAAATGTATTAAATGCAGTAAGATTAATAATAGCAAGAAATTGGAAAATAAAAGGTGATTATTAAATAGAGGACTGATATCAAGAAGTCTGGAATATAGCTATTAATGATAAATTAACTTGTGATATTACATGGAGAAAAGGTTTTGATAAGTCAAAATAATTTTGAAAATATTTGGCAACTGTTTATTAAATATGTCTTAATAAAAGGAAAGGGGAGTGAACCATCGCAAGAGTCAGTGCAGTTCTGGAAGGGAAGCTGGAGTGGAACAGCCTGAATAAATAAATAATCTTACATTAAGTAGCGTGATTTGTTGGTCCTGGTGGAGGTAGCACTGTTATTATTGCATTGTTTAATTATGTTTATTCGTAGTGTTTAATTATGTTTCTTACTATTATATTAATTGTATTGTTTATGTTTGTTCAATTTGTCAAATTAAAAATATATTAATAAAACCTCTCCTCTTATAAAACAGCACTGTCTGTTTCCATGTTTTAGGGCACCCAGAGGAAAGGAGTTGTGGCACCTCCGGGGCTTGTGAGGACAAAGACGTGGTTTCCAAGGCAGGGGCCCCACTTCAGAAGGACCAGGGACTGGTGCTGGAGCCTTCCCATCCCCGGAGGTGTCCGTTTCAGTCGGGTGCTGGTCCTGGGCCATAGGATGGGAATAGCAGTGATACTCTGACAGTTAGGGCCCCGAGGGTGTGGAGTGGGCTCCCATGGGAGATGGCTGAGGCCCCATCGGTGCGGGTGATCAAGGATAGGCTGGACGTGCACATGGTGGGCATGTCGTGAGCAGAGCCGGCTGGAGCCAGGGTCAGACTAGATGGCCCAGGAGACCCCTTCTGACTTGCTCTGTTTCTATGCTTCTATGTCTCGTCTGATGGGCACAAGACAGATTTCCGGCAGCCGTGCTTCTCCGACTGCTTTTTGAATGGAACCCCATTTTTTCTCTGCCACCCCCTCCCAGTTGCTGGAGATAATGGGGAGCTCTGGATGAGGCCTGTTTGCTTATTATTTATTTGCTTGCTTGCTTGCTTGTTTATTAGCACTTTCCCATATAAGCCCAGTGGCTCCCCAAACAGTTTACAATGACATTCTGGGCTGCAAGCGTGCCTGAAAGGGGCCCGGGTTCACCAGGGGGATCTGAGGGATACAGGAGCAAATTATGCCAGACTGGAACAGTTCAGGACACGTGGCAGCCCTTCTCACCCAAGAAAATGCCCCTTCACCTCAAGAGGGCAAGAAGACTGCCCCATGCCCAACCTGAGGGCCACAGGGGTTCTTGCAGCGGGGGGCCCTGGGATTTTTTCCGATTGCCACTCCCATCAGCACCAGCCAGCATGCCCAATGGTCAGGGATAACGAGGGTCGTAGCCCAGCAACATCTGCTGGGCCACCAGCTCCTCACTCCTGGCTTAGTAACCTTCATTGACAGGAGAAGCACCCATGACCTTCCAGATGTGCTGGGTGGCCAGGCAAAACTATCATGGCCGAGAAGCAAGAACTTTGTGTGCTCCTGCGACAGGGATGTGGAAGGCGTGAGAACGGGCCACTGTTCCTCCCAAAGGAGGAACCTGCACCTCAGATCTCGAAGCCAGTTCATACCTCACTCGTGCAGGTGCTCCCAAGCCCCAGGCAGCATTGCTCACCCACCCCTCACCCCTCCAGCACCTCTCCAAAAATGCCAGTGAACACCCAAAGGGGCACCTTTGCAGCAGTCAAGACCCAAAGGTCAGATGCTTTCCTAGCCAGACTAAAACCCTCCATTTCCTCCAGGGGTGTTGCTAATGAAGGCTCAGAGCAAGGGGCCGTTTACTGAGTGTAAAGTGGAAGCTGTGAGACAAAGGCATGTTTTTATGATAAGGGTCTTGGCTCCAGGCCCCCTACCCTGTCTCTGCGTGACTTTTCCTGCTGAATCAGCTAGCTTCTCAATAGCCTGGCTTCCGAGGCCTTCCAAGCATCAACGCAAGTCTGCCATTGGCTGGGCTTGGTGAGTTTGCAATTCCTGAAGCCCTGCTTGTGTTGCAGCAGAGGCTGTCAGAATCCCAGAATCTCAATTTGAGAAGAGGAAATAAAACTCGGGTTCGTGGGAAAGATCAAGCGTCCAGACCATCTTGGCTTTATTGTATTACCCAGGTTCCCTGCAGTTCCATACTCGCAATAATGCATTACTGGGCAGGCAGAGGTAAACTCTGCTGCAAAGTTTCAATACCACTGCAGGGTATTTTATAGGTACACAGGTACAGGGCAATTGATTACAGTATGCAGACATTACAATAAGATTCCGAGGTCATCACATACAGAACAGATAAAGGAATGTCAGTCAATCATACAGAGACAATGAGATTACAATATTTCTGATTGCAGTGTATTGACACTTTAGTTGAGTAACTTGAACCCATCTCCAGGTCTGCTCAGACATGTAAATTCAAGCTACTGCAACTATTCATGATAAGCTCAGACCCCTATCTAGACTCTAGACATTCTGAATGACCAGGGCACATGAAGCCCTCTGGGCTAGGAAGATACTTCCTTGTAAACTGTGAATTCCAATGCCATTTTAAACGGTGACTTAGCTTGGTTTTGAGGAGTACAGGGTTAATTCTACAATTTCAAAAGCACACACAAGCAATGCTTTTCTGACAGGATTTATCCAAATTTTCCCAACAAGGCTAACCTTTTCCCAGCCCTGCCTAAAGCCGATGGGGGCAATCTTAGGGCACCTGAGGCCTCGAACCCTCCAAACTCAGGATTACGGACATCCTGCTCAAGGCTGGCGGAACTGGAGGCAAGGGGCCTGTCTCCCCCACCCCGCAAAGCAGCTGGAAAGCCCATTTCTGCTGCCTACATGCAGCACTTTGGAGTGGGAGGAAATGAGGAGGAGGAAGAGGCAACCAGGAAATAGAGTCCTAGAGTCTTACACAGTGCAGTGTACAAGGAGCTTCTTCCATAGGGAGGGGGAGTCTGAGCACAGAGTTCGTGCTCTGACAATGGTACCTGGACTCCAGAAATCCTACACCCTCTAGACGCTGTCCAGGAAACACTGGGCCACATGGTCCACATAATTTCTGCGCGTGGGTAGCACAAGCAGAAGGCTTGGGTGGGCAGGCATAACCCAGGACAGCACTGAAGAGTTATTATAAAACCTGCAAAATGGGGATAATTGCCCTGCAGGAAGTTGTGAGGGGTGGGAAGCCATTGGTTCAAGCGGGGCATTCATGGCCACGCGTGTCTGTGTCCCACTCATACGTTCCTGCTCTGTCTGTGCATGTGCAACAGCCACGTGCCAGGTGTGCGCTTGTCCTGTTTGCATCAGGCGTACGCCTATATTAGGGGTCCCCAGATGTCAGCCTGCTGGGGACGCTTGGGATTTTGAGGACGGGTCGTGGGCACTCACAGAACAATGGCCACCAGAGGGTGTTTTGGCCATTTGCCAAATGGCTGCTGTGATGGCCATGACTGAACACAAAATGCCCATTTCCCAGGAGGCAAATGGTAAGGCTGAGCGGAAATAATTTACCCAGGAGCCCAAGGAGAGGTGGAAGTGGCCTCACCGCGCTGGGCAGCAAAACCTACACACTGCCTTCTCCTCTGAAACCCATTTTGCAGTGGCAAAACCGCGCAGGAGCGGAGCCTGAACGGGGGCAAGCAACTGGGTACACGGCAGAGGGGGGCTGAACCCCTGATGCCAAGTTGCCCCTGCAAAGATTCCCCCCCCGAAAAAAGTCTGACTCGGAGTGGGTAAGCCAGGGATGCTCGGAGGAACTCAAACACCCCTGTGCAGAGCAGAATCCTACGGGGCCCCAGGGCAGGACGAAACTGGAAGTCTCTCCTCACCCAGCGAAGAGGCAACATCGTCCTTCGCCAGTCGTTCAGAGCTAGGGAAACCTGCACTCAAGGCAGGGCATGCGCCAGGATTGGTGGCTGCATGGAAGGGGGCGGGGCCCTCCGGGGCACACTGGGGGTCCGCCTCGGGGCCCAGATCCGGCCCCTGGGGAGGAGTGCTGCACTCCCACATTAAAGCAGCAGTGTGCAGGAGTCCAGCAGGCAGCAGCCACGCGTTTCTGGGTGAGTGCAGCCATCCCTGTTCACAGAGGCGATGAAGAGGGCACCAGGGATCTGGGTGCGCCCAGCCAAGGCTCCTTCCTGAGACAGGGGCGCCGATGCAGCCTCAGACCCTTCCGAGAGCAGAGAGCCTTTCTTGCTGGCCATCCGTCAGCAGGCAGCCTGAGCATCTGATGATAACGGAGTCGCCAAGCAACGGCAGCCATTTGAGGAAAGGATGGTTAAGGCAGATAAAAGGAGCGCTGTTCTGGAGAGAGAGGTATAAATCGCCTTTTTTACGCTCACTGTCAGAACAGATCAGCGTGACCATTCTGTCCTCTTGTTCAGATCCGCCACTTTTCATCCCTCCTCGAGCAGCCACGAAGCCCCCACTGTGATCGGCTGACCCGGCACCGACAGCCGACCCGAGGAAGTGCCCTGGAGAGACACACAAGCGAGAGGTGAGGCAGCCTATGTCGTCTCTTTGAAATGTGAAAGACCCTCCAAACCCATAGATGAAGCTGGCCCAGGCTTGGGGCACACGGAGGTGAGTATTCACGCAAGTCTGCCTTGCAAACGCTAATTCAAATGCTGTAAACCGCACATTCATTCTCTCCCAGACAGGAAGAGTTTTGGGCAATTCTCATCCAGAGCAAACTGGAATGAATTGTGGAGCTGCTTGCACCTGGCAGATTTAATCGTTTGAGCAGGGCCACTTGGGGAGGGCCTTCTGACCTGGCTCCCTGCTGTGGGGAGATGTGAAGATGTGGAGATGATGTTAAAAAATGTGGCAGCCCTACTCCAAGCAGGGCATGGGGATTCCACGCCGAACGTCAGTGCCCTGGGCCTGGGCAGACAAATAGGTCAGCCCCAGGTTTGGCACTAAAAGATGCTGAGCCCCTTTGTTCCGGAGAACCTGGGGAAGTCTGGCAGATTTTCCAAACTACGACTGTCTCCCAGCGGACAGCTTGAAGGTGGTGTGTTTTTTTTCCTGGATTCAAACTGGAAGCACCGAGTTGCGCCCCCTTTCCATTGACTGTGCTGCCGGGGCAAATGGGAGGTGTAGTCCAGCACCATTGGAAGGCACCAGGGTGCGGATGGCTGCTGTAGCCTCATCCCATATAATCAAATGGGGCATAGGCTTCTAGTGGTTACGAGCCGTATTTGTCCTGGATGACCACACGGGCAAAGGAGCTCAGGGAATTGGACAGCAGTTCCCATAATCCCCAGACATCACGGCCGCTGTCACGCTCCATCAGGAGTTCCCGATCTGTGCTGGGTGACCACTCAGGCAAGAAGACTCGGTGTAGCCAAGACAGCGGGCCACATCTGGAGCTTGGCTTAAAGTTCCAGATCTTGGTCAACCGTCTTGCATCTAAAGAGCTAATAAACTGCTCCAGCTGAATCCTGGAGCTGCCGGCTGAGTGCTTTGGGCTGGAAAGGAGGTTCTCTCTGGGAACGCCACCCCTCCAAGTGCTGCCCCTGGCTGTGAAAGGGCCCACACCCATGTCCTGCAGGTGTTGGGTTCTCCTCGGGAGGGCAGACTGCAGGAAGGGGGAGCCAGGTGGGGCTGCTCCCAGGTCTCTTTTCCACCAGAGGAATCCTCTGGGGCTTGTGTGGATACTGTGCAGGGCCCAAAACCGTGGCCCCCACTGCAGAAGAGCTGGCAATCAGTTCAGATGGTCCCAGTCCCCGGGACACGGCAGCAGTAAGCAAGGGCAGATTCTCCTGCAATGTGTGAGACAGCAGAGGTCGACAAGCGAATGAGTGCATGCGAGAGGTCCAGAAAATGCCACGGTCGCCAAGAAGAGGACATGCGTCCCCATCTGTGGGGGAGAGGGTTGCTGTTTCAGGAAGCACCACAGATGTCTTCCGTTCATAGCACTGTTATGGAACTGTGTGTTCCCCATAGAGATGATGCTTCCCAGGCAATGGCATTGAAGAGTATTTGGTGGCTGACATGCAATAGCAGTGAGGATTTGTCAGTTGATAGTGGGTGAGATTTCTTAGCTAAACCCACTAAATCTGATGCATCCACAAAAGCTCAGTTTCCCTTTCTGTGGTTCCTTGAAGCTCAGAGGTGCAGTGGGTAGCCAGGTCAAGGACCTTGGATAGCGCCAAGGAAGTTCTGTTGCTGGCCAAAACGCTCTCCCAGCCAGCATCAGAAGAGGATGTTGTCTTAACAAGGAGCTGGAGCCAAGTGAAGACTCATGAAGGCTGATGAGACCTGTGGTGTGGCCGTTTCCATTCCTCCTGGAGGAGATGACTAGAGTGTGGAGGAGCCTTGCCTGATTTTCAGGCCTGGGGCTTCTGTGAGAACAGGGAAAGGGGGGCTTTGCCAGGTACTTATAAGCCAGAGGGTGACTGGGCAGGGAGAGCCCTGGATACCGCACAGACCGTCCTACTCTTGAAGAAGTAACCGGGAGGCCATTCCAATCCGAATCCTCCATTGCGCACTGGACGGTCCACACGGTGGGTTTCTTGAGTGTCAATAAGTTAGCATTTCGGAGTTCCACCATTACGATATATTTCAACAAAGTTGCAAAGCAAGCATTCTTCAGGGAGGCCAGAAAGTCAGAAGGAAAGAGTTCTCTGCTACAAAAATTACTGGCTGGTTTTGGATCACACTCAAAGATTGAGTGTGGGTTGGTGTTGAAATGTGAGCCATTGTGTGGTCTGAATCCAGCCACAACAACAACCATGGTTTGTCAACTGTTCACCACCCGCCAACAAACCAGTGTGGTGTAGTGGTTAAGAGCAGGGGACTGGGACTCAGTCGATCCGGGTTCTAGTCCCGGCTCAGCCAAGACTTTGGGTGACTTTGGACCAGTCACAGACTCTCAGCCCAGCCTACATCACAGGGGAAGTTGTGGGGATGAGATGAGAGCAGGAGGAAGATGAAAGCTGCTTCCAGTGTGTTGTAAGAAAAGATTGGCCATCAGTCTAACAAACAAACAAACAAGCCATGCATTTTCTTCATGGCTTGTTGATAGTTCATGACCGGGTTCAAACGACAGGACAGTCCATAGCTGAACCCATGCTCAGCCCATACACAGCCCCTGAGCGCGGGTTGTTGTGTGAACCCATCCCCTGCTTGACCATGGATGTTTCAGGTGAAAACCCAAGCAGCCCCCAGAGCGCTTCCTGTTCCTCTCCTTCCACAGGAGAAGCATCACAGCAGATGTAAGACGGATGGAGAACCAGGTCGAGGGATGCGAGTGGAGCTTTCGGCAGATTTGGCGTGGGGTTCCCAGGTCTGCATCCAGTACCTTCAGCTTCCTGAAGGCCGTGCGTTCCTTGGCAATTTGAAGGCCTATGCAAGACTGGACATGCTGTGGAAGAAGGAACCCCCAGGGCTGGTGGCCAAGGTTCTCCGTGAGATCCAGAGAATGCTGGCCTATTTCCTGATTGCATACACCCTGCTTTTGGGTGTATTCATTTGTGTTGAGCTGATAATTCAGCTTCTAGATGCAGAATAAGGATGGAGTGAGGCCATGCCACTTCTCATTATATGGGGCCAGGATGCCACCGCCTTCCCCTGCCCGGTTCCCTCTGGATGTGTTGGACTGCACTGTAGCGAATGGGAGAAGTGACCAACTGATTTTTTTTTAAAATGTAGACCTTGCCTTTCCATTTATAAAACAGGGACATCTTTGGTTTGCTTGAAACCTCTATGAAAAGGGTGACGCTTGCGAGAAGAAAGAGGAGGCGGCCCGCTTCCTCCCGTGGATAGGAAAGCGTGGCTCTTACGTCAAGGACCAGGCATTCCGTCCATCAATGGGTTGACTCCCCCACACCATGAACGGTTGGAGATTTTTTTTACTGGGTGGGGGGAGTCTTGTGCAGACAAAGGACCATTAGTAACCCGGGAACCGAATGCTGGCGGGGAAGTGTCTGACCCCTCCAGAGAGGCCGGCGAGGAGACGCTTGAGGCTGGCCACCGGCTGGGAAGAAGGTCCTTCAGGGGCTTCGAAGGACTGGCAGAGTCCTTCTGGGGGAACTGCGGGGCAGTCCGGTGTTTGGGAGCTGCTTTCCCCATGATGTCCTTTAAAAATAATATAATTATTGTGACAAGAGCATACCGGGAGTCCAATTCTTGATTCTCACAAGAAAAGTCCAACCCTAAAAAAGTGTTTTACCACTCGGTTGAGAAGCAGGCACAAAATATGAGCCACCTGGTCAGAAGGCCAGCTCAGCGTACACGATGCACGGCCAGCGGGATCCACGCAGGCCGCCCAAGGCCTCCCCATGGCCCTGCCTTCCCCCCATTCCCACTGCTTCCCTCCAGGCACAGTCACTACCAGCAGTGCAGCCTTCTCCTTCCAGCAAGGACGGGCCCAGCTTGTGCCCCCCATGCCCTCCCCCAGGAGTTCCCTTAGAAAGCTCCCTTTCCTTGCTGCCACCCACAAAGAAGGGCAGGCTCAGGTTCCCTGGCTGGACTGCACGGCTGGGTTCAGACGACATGATAAGCCGCCCCGCATCCTCAGCTGCACGGCTTTGGTGGCTGCTCCCGGCATCACCTGGGAGGCCCCAGAATTAGTCATGTCGCATCTTTCTGGCTCCAAAGGGGTGGGGGTCTTGAGTCAGCCCCCAGGGAGCAGGCTCATCATGCAAGAGGAGTCTGAAGGGCATGAAGAAATGCTCTTTATCTATTGGTGAGAATATTTTCAGCTCCCCAGAAGGGGTCCCAGAACGGCTTGCAGGTATGAATGCTAAGATCCTCCAGGCCACCTGGACTTCCAATGTCAATAGCAGCATGTGCACGTCCAGCCTATCCTTGAACATCTGCACCAATGGGGCCTGAACCGCCTCCCGTGGAAGCCCATTCCACCCCCTCGGGGTCCTGTCTGTTAGGAAGTGCTTCCTGGCATCCACCCTAAATCTTGGTCCCCTGAGCTTGGCTCTACTGGGGCATGTCCTGCCCTCCTCTGCAGGGGAAAACAGGTCTCTACCCACCTCTGTGGGACACCTCCTCATGTACCTATATTGTTAACATCATATAGATGTTAAACACCCAATTTTTGTCTTCGTGAAAATATGTGTATGTGCTAAGCATTCCTATGACTGTTTTTATCCCAGGCTTGTACGCCTGTCAAAACTAAGACATTTTCTTGCACATATGGTTCTTTTTATGTTGCATGTGCACCATTTCCAAATCATAATGGTGGGAGGAACCTCAGAGGTCATCCATCCCATCCCTTGCTCAGGACAGGCTCTGTGGTGCAGGATGGGGCCAGGATCAGAAAATGACCCTGAAACTGGTGGAAGACAGGTGTTGTGGTTGCTTAATTCCCAGAGAGAGAGCACATGGCACATGTTTTTTTGCAGAGGCAACAAAGAAGGGGAGGGCACAGGAGAGAGGCACTCATCCTGTTACCAAGCAAGGGAGATGAACAAGGCAAGTAGGCATGGCCGCAACACAATTTCTGTTGCTTTCTCCTGCCTGGAAGCAGAATTGGTTCTGTTTTCCATCAGGACTTTGTCCTGAGAGCATCTGCAAAATAGAATTCAGCTCTCACAGGTCCACGGCCCCTCTGCCTTTGAGTTCCATTATTAAAAACTGAACTGGGATCCCTTCCTGAAGAAAATGTACTCTGCACACACTCAGAGGCACTTTGCTCCAAGGCCTGTTTTTGATTCATTTTGAAATTAAAACAAACACTCTTTTGTTCTCCTTTGTGCTCAGTGGATCCAGCATCAAAGGGGTGTCTAAAAGAATAAATTTTTAAGGAGCTGTCCCTTAAAAGTTCAGACTGCCTGCCAGAGTGGATACATTGCCCCACTGATGTTGGAAACACCCAGCACTGCTGGGGATGGTTGCTGGTGCTCAGAGGCTCTCCAGGCACAGTGTCACAGTTCAAGAAAATCGAAAAAGTGAAGTCTGCAGTGCAAAAGCGCATCCACCAATCCAGAGTTTCCCCCTCCGACTGAGACAAGGGCAGTCCATTTGGACAGATTCCGCATGTGAAGGAATGCACTTTAATATCTACAAGGTGTGGAACAGGGATGGGAGACTGGACTGGGCGTCACTGGTTTAACCAGCCTTCTCTTTCCCCCAAAGAATCCTGGGAAGGAAGGTTTGTGGGGAGCCAAACTTTAACTCTAAGAATTAGTTTGTGGGGAATCCATGAGGCTTCAGGTTGATAAAAGTTGGGGTGTGGACATATTTGAAATCCGGGGCACACGTGGAGTTGCATGGCTGTCCCTCAGAGATCTCCGGGGACCTCGTGGCACGATCTCCGTGAAGCAGCAGCGGGAGAGAAAGTGGGAGGAGGGCGGGGGGGGGGGGGGCTGTCCCCAAAAAGAAGCTCACAACCTTTCTGCTGGCTTGTCGTATATATGGTGGCTATTGTAGTGCGTTACGGTTGCTGAATCCCGTGTGCCCATGATCTCAGTGCCATCACAGATGTTGGAACTGTGGGGAAGAAAAGAGGGAAAGGGAGAAGACAGATGAAGTGAATACGGAGCCGTCCCTTATTCAGATCAGATCATGAGAAGAGCTTGATCTACACACAGTGCAGAGTTAAGCTACAGAAGTGATGGCTCCCAGTTTGGACAGCTTTAAAAGGAGATTGGACAAATTCATGAAGCAGAAGGCTAGTGAGGTTACTAGTCCTCATGGCTACAAGCTAGATTTAAAATCTGGGGCACCAGCTGCTGGGAAACAGGCAGCTTGTGGGTTTTCCACAGGCAACTGGTGTGAACAGAAAGCTGGATGAGATCGACCCTGGTTCTGATCCTGCACAGCTGATCCTGTGCTCATTTGGGTGAGAGGACGATGGGATCATTCCTTTCATCGTCTACAAATAAACCATCCTTAGGAAATGCAAGATCTGGATTCAATCATTTTTTAAAAACGGAAAGATTCAGCCACAGTTTGTCTGTCTGTTCATGCCAGCTTGAGGCCATCGGTGACTCTTAAACACCATGCTGCCTTGTGTTGGAGCATCCCTGCTTGAGAGTGTGGTATCTGGGGAGGAAACAGCCTGTTTCTAGCCAGAGAGAAGGTCTTTTTGGTCTCGGAGACGTTGCAAGTGTCACAGATGCTCCGTCCGCAAAGCTGCAGAATTCTCACAGACACCAACCCTGGCCCTGACCCTCTTGGGCGCCAAGGTCTTCCTCTCCTAGCTGTTCACAGCTGCAAATTTTGGGCCTTGCCTGGGGGTGGCCAGAAGGCCCTGCCATGGAATATTGTGTGCTGATGGAAGTGGAAAGAGCCCAACGGCTTTTCAACATGTGAGACCCAAAGAAATTCGTATCTAGTAAATACATTTCTTTTCCCTCTCCTTTGTTTAAGGTGAACATCCAACTCAACCCGCCCTGCTGAGCTTCCTTGGACAGGAAGGAAGGGGGACCTTTGATTCTGTAAGCCGTCCTGAGGCTGCTGCAAAGGACGGCATATAAATGTTTAAATTAAATTAAATTAGATTAGATTAAAACTGTTTTCCAGCAGGAAGGCGGGTGAGTCTGTGAGGCAGCAGCTCGTTTAAAAGCACCCGGCAGCTTCATGGCCAAACAGGGCCTCGAACCGGGATCTCCCTGGTCCCAGTCCAGCATGCTAACCACTAGACCTTTCCTACACGCTCCTCCCGCATTCCCCATTTCATGCAGGCATCTCAGCACGTGCCCCGGCTCAGCCTGCGGGATCCTGCTCCTCCCTACTTCCTGAGGAGAGAGGGCGATCCCGAAATCCGGCACATTTTAGTCACCGTGTGAATTGCAAAATCCCAGGTGTTTGCCTTCACACGGACTGCAAAAAGGGGGGGCGACTTTGAGGTCTTCAAATTGCCCACAAGCACGACCCCCATGGCTGGCCCAGAATGGTGGGAATGGCAATCAGCCAGCAGGAGGGCTGGGGAAAGGCGGAAAGAGGCCCCTGGCCTCTGTGGCTCGGGGGACCTTCTGGGCTGAGCCGCTGGGACACAGAAGTGGGCAGCAAAGAGCACTGGGCCCACATGCGCCGGAGGGCTGGAGTCACGGAGCCGAGGGACAGACTCGAGGAGAAGGCCCTTCCTGAATGCTCCCAGGGTTGGACGTGGCCATTCCAGTTAGATCTCCCATTCCCACAAGGCTAACCTTCAGGTTATGGGGTGGCATAGAAATGGAATTGAATAAATCATAAATAAGTAATAATTAACATCAACTATCATGGGGAAAGAAAAATAGAGGGGGGAGGCAAACAACACAACACAGAAAACCAGAAAGGGAAAGCCAGGCCAGGTTTTTTGCCCTGCTGAAACGCTGTGTCGCTTTTTCCTCTTCCCTCCCCTTCCCTCTTTCCTTGAATGCTGTGTCTGTTTAGAGCTGAGGATTGAATGCCTTTTATTCCTCTTCCTTTTGGCTGAGTGGAATAAGCATTCTGAATCCAGCCAAACCAGGACAAGGTCATCCGATCCAGGCAGGAGACTTACTACTTATAGACCAAGGCAGTGATGAGGGCAGCCAGCAGAATGGCAAACAGGATGGAGAGGACTGAAGTGATGACAATCATCCCGGCACTGCGGCGCGCGGGCTGCGTATTGATGCTATTGGGGTCCTTCCCTGGTGAGGAGGAGAAAAACGGCCCCATTCAACCCTTGTTTTTATCTGCCAAGCAAAAGAGTAGCTGAGCTGCTTCACTGCCATGCAGTGAAAGGTTTGCAGGGTGAGGGGTTGGCAGCGTGTGGGGCACGGAGGGACAGCCCTTCCCTCTTCCCCAGTTTCAGGGTCCAGGCCATGGGTGGCAGGAGGCCGGGCGGGGCAGGGCAGGGCAGGCAGGGCAGGGCAGGAGAGCGTCAGGCACGGCAGAGTCCAACGTCCACCAGCCAAACCGAAGAGCAAGCCCAGGTCGCAGGCACGGACAGGCCAAGGTCAGGAAGTAGAAGCGCATCTCAGGGCGAGGCGAGGACACCGCTTAGAAGCAAGCCAGGGGCTGAGATTCTGGCAGACCACAGAGGGGGAGCTGGTGCCTGAGGCAGGAGAACCCAGTGTGGCTCACTGGCAGTGAAGGGGTGGCAAGCAAGCAGCAAGGCAGCGAAGCAGGCGAGGCGAGGGGGCGAGGGAGGTGCAGCGAGGCACGGGAAGGCATCCGGCAAGGGCCTGGCAAGGTGCAGGCATGGCAGGAAACCCTGAGCTGCAGAGGCCCCCCTGCGGGGTCCCCACCAACCCTCCCCAGGAAGCCTGGACCCATCCAAGGAGGGCATTCAGGCCACCGGATGAAGCCCTGGGGCAGCCCAGATCCTGGGGCATCCAGCCGCAATGGCCCTTAAAATTTCCGCAACTTGAGGCAATGAAGCTAAGAAAGAGAACTTTTCTTGGCACCAGCAGTCACCTGGGTGCTGGCGAATACACCTGGGGGTCCTGCAAGTGGACCCAGGGCCAGAACCCCCACCTGGCCCTGACACACCTCCACCCAGAGGTCTGAACTGCCTGCCTGTGGGAGGCTTTTGACGGCAGGCCCAGGGCCACGTGCTGCATGGCGGTCGAGGCTGGCCAGTCCTGCTTATGCAGCTGGCCGCTCCAGGCAAGTAGGTGGCCCTCCCATGGACAGCAATGGAATTTCCATGGGCTTAATGGTGACTAGAGCGAGCCAGGCAGCCGGTTCCCAGTTACCTTTGCGCAGCGTGATCAGATCTGACCAGTGTGACTGAGCTGTGATTTGCGTGGAGTTCATGGCGACGAACTTGACCCTGGGCGAGAAGAGGCAGAGACAAATTCAGTGGGATTTATCTCCATTCATTCCCTGCATTTTCCTGCAATTCTGTTTCTTTCTCATTTTCCCCCAAATTATTATGATGACTTTGATCTTAAGTCTGCACATTTCCTCATTTCTTTTCCCATTTTGCACAATTTTTGCATACATTTTTATGAAGTATCCTTTGCACTCTTCTCTGTAACATGTGCATTTAGAGCACACTCTTCCGTTCGATGTGCAGTTTGTTGTCTTTTGGGGTGCAGACACTGATTGCAAAGTTTGAAAAGTGCATATAGGTGCAACTATTTATTTACAAGGTTGATGTACTATTCTAGGGCCAATGACATTTCTGAGTGCTGAGCAACAGAAAGGCGATAATTCTACTCATAACACAGAATTTAAACTTTCAAAATCCGATTTCACAAATACAGCTGTGGCTGATGAATCACAGAAGGTGTGCCGTCATTTCAAAACAGTTTTCAGCCGCTGTCAAGAATGAGGCAATTCTGACATCTGCTTGACCTCAAAACAGGGAGTTCCACGGGGGGGGGGGGGGGGGAGCCACAGTGAAGGCCCTACTCTCTCCGATTTATCCTCACAACAACCCTGAAGGGTAGGCTAGCCTGAAGGTCTGTCTCTGGTTGGAAACTGCTCCGTGAGCAGCTGCATGGCTGTGCGTGGGCTGGAACCCAGGTCTCCCAAGCCCCATCCCGCACCCTAACCACTCTGCAGCACTGCTCCTCCAGCCCTAGGCTGTATTATACATGAGCCAGGCGGCTTATATCTTTTTGTCCTCTTTATTTTAAGCTCAGGACAACCTAGTGGGCTTCATGGCCACGTGGGGAGGAGAAGCTTGGTCCTGCTCGGGCTGGGACCTCTATTCTGCAGTGGCTGCCAGTCTCCAATCGCGAGCAGCCCTCTCTCTCCCCATAAAACCGTGAGATGGAGGCAACGCGATGGCAAAAATGAGCGTCACACGAATCCCTTTCAGGAATCGGCTGGCAGGGCTCGGCCCAGCCAGAAGAACACTGCTCCTCTTTCCCGGCGTTCTGCCTGTTGCGATGATCCGCACCGGGGAAGCCACGCCGTGCGTTTTTCGCAAAAGCAGTGCCTGTCTTTGGCATGTCAGCTTTGCACGCGACCTCCCCCCTCAGGTTGCATTTTGGGGAGCACATGCTTTGATCAGGGGCCTGCAGCCCTAATTTCAGAGGAGCACAAGAGACCGGCGGATCTCTGCATTCCTCTTTGTGGCTCCAATCGGGAAGTACTAATCTGGAAGGTTCATATTCCACTGCATTCCAACGGAGGACACGTTCCAGTGGAGCCACGTTCGGGGAAGCAAGGTTCAATTTGGATGCCAGGAAGTATTTCCTGACAGTTAGGACCCCGAGGGTGTGGAATGGGCTTCCACAGGAGGTTGTTGAGGCCCCATTGGTGCGGGTGTTCAAGGATAGGCTGGACATGCACATGGTGGGCATGTCATGAGCAGAGCCGGCTGGAGCCAGGAGTCAGACTAGATGGCCCGGGAACCCCCTTCTGACTCCCTCTGCTTCTATGTTTCTATGTATTAAAACAGGCACTGAAAGGAATTTCTTTCCTCAATCCTGCTAGATCAACAGTAGTTAGATGCATGTGGAAAGAGATACAGCTAGGAGCTCCCCACCTAACTCATCTGACTGCAATACCCACCATCCCCAGCCAGCATGAAGGGGATGATGAGAATTGTACTCCCACCCTGGCTGGAAGGCAACAGGTTGTGGCCCCCCGCTGTGGGATGCCGGCGTCACCGAACTTGCCATCTGACTGGCAAGAAGAGCTTGCAGAACTACGGCTGTGCCATATGGGGCACGGAATCTGCTGAGAGTGGACATCCTGATTCTCATACCTGTTGTGCAGCTCGATGGATTTGAGTTGGTGAACCACAAGAATGCGAACTCAAACAAAAGCTTAAAGCAACCTGGAAAGCTTCGCAGTAGAAGGAATATTGGCAGCAGCCAACCTCCTGGAGCGGCAAACATGCCAAAAACAGTTTCCGCTCGCCTTGGGTAGCTCTGTTGGAAACCAGGGGTTAGCAGGGAGATGATGAGGTCTGGTGGTCAGAGTCTTCCCGGGGTCTCTGGAGAGCCAGGTTCAAGTTCCCTCTTGTCCATCCCACTCAGTGGGTGACCTTGGGCCAGACAGAAATTTTCACCCTGGCCCACCTCACAGGGTCGTCGTCGTGAGGATAAAAGGGAGTGGAAGAAAAGAGTGCCCGCTGCCTTGGGGGGGAAAGGCAGGAGCAAGCAAAGGCACGCCTTGTGATGGAGAGAAAACACCAGGCCAAGGCACTTTCAGGGTGTAGTGGGAACGCCCCGTCCTCCTCTTACTTGTAAGGCCCTGGCCCTGGGAGGGGCCCATTGCAGTCCGGCCAGGAAAGATCCGTGATGCACCCCGTCTCACTCCCCACCCGCAGGACTGTGAGCGCCTCGCTTGCCTCTCCCGGGTCCGGACAGGGGTAGTTTGTCACGGGGGTCTTCAGGGTCATGTACGAGCTATTGCTCCCGAACGACTGATAGGGCAACTCCCTTGCGGAGAGGGGAATAGGCAGTTCGTCTTCAGCTGTGGGAGAAATGTGCACAACAGTCATTCCTGCATTTGGCCCAAGGCTGCGAAGCAAGCGGCTCCTGACCCACAACCTGAGGATCCAAGTGCTCCCTGAGCATGCACAGAGCGGGCTTTGAAACGGCAGAACAGCAGCCGGAGGCAGCAGCCATCGCACAGGGCTGCCTTCGCCTTGCTTTTCCCATGGGCCTGAAGGCATGGGATTAGATTTAGTCCTGGCCGTTGATTTGGACAGCTTTAAAAGGGGACTGGACACATTCTGAGAGGGAAAATCTGCAACAGCTACTAGTCCTCATGACTCTTTGTTACCTCCAGCAGCAGAGGCCACTGTGCCCACGTACGCTGGGGGCTAGGAAAATGAGCAGGAGTGGCTGCTGCACCCATGTCCTACCCGTGGGCAACTGGTTGGCCACAGAAGGACCAGAATTTGGGCCAGGCAGGCCCCGGTCCGATCCAGCAGGTCTCTCCTGATGTTATGCTCATGGCCCCACAGCCCAGAGCGCAGAGGGAGGGCCAGAGCTCAATTTTCTGCTCAGGCGATGCGCATCCCTTGAGTCTGAGCCACTCCCTTCTCAGTGCATTTACTGGGGGGGGGGGGGGGGGGGATTGGCCGCATGGCCTGGGCTTCCCCACATTGGAGAGACTCCGGAGCAATGGCTGGGCAGTCTGCAGAACTCCCGCTGCTGAGCCAGCCATCTCCCACCGGGGCCACTGCCCCCGTGGCCTAACGTGAGAGCTGGTGAGGTCCCGGAACCATGCAAGGCTGCCTTCGCAAAAGCCCAAAAGCGCAAAGCTCAGCGCCAGCTTGGAGAATCTCTGCGGAGCCACATTCTGGTGGTCAAAGTGGGTGCTCCCAAGACCTCCCACATACTGGCCTGCTCTAGCTCACGCGTCCCGGGAGAGGCATCACCATCCTTCCAAACGCAAGGAAAACTCCAGAAACACCAGGGATCTAGCACAAGCTTGGTGGTCAAGAGGAAGGGGCCGGGGCAGAGAAATGAGGTGGAGCCCCTGGCAGACCCTGGGCAGGATCCCTGGCGGTTCCACGGAGAAACCCCCAAAGGTGGACACCCGTCCCAGGCCATGGTGCCCGCCCACGAGGGCGTCTGGCCCCACATTAGCAGCTTATAGGAAATATTGTGGCGTTTACTGCTGAGCAGACGTGCTGTTGCCAAACCTGCCGGACGCACTGCGCTTCCACCGTCCTGCTCCCTGGGCGAGTGCGCCCGGCACTAGGAACCGCAACGTACCTTCGCTGAGGGCAACCACCAGCCACACGTTGTCCGTGGGTTTGACAACCTCGTTGAAAATGCAGCGGGGCTGCTCCAGAACAAAGGTGGACGCTGTGATCCTCCCCGCTACCTTCTCGGATGTGAGTCTCGGTTTATAATTCACATCTGGAGAAAGCCAGCAAGAAAGCCAGTGAGAGTCTCTCCCCCCTTTCGACCGGTCCTCGACTGAGAGCCAGGCAAGGATGCGCATGCCCACCTGCCAGTCTTCTAATGCCACGGATTCAGTGGGACTGATTTCAGGGCATGTGCCAGAGTGGTCACAGTGGTGGCTGCAATTCCCAGAGTCTCTCTGCCAGGAGAAATCCACGCTCTTTCTCAGGCATGATAAAGGAAAGGAACTGAAAATCAAACTGCCAGGATCGCACTGCTTTCGTACCGATCTGGGGCACAACTGTGCTTGGAGCATGGTGTGCAATTCTGGTCACTGCGCCTAAGAAGAGGCATTGTGGGGCCGGAAGAAGTGCGGGAGCGGCAGCCGGAATGTCGGAGGGACTGGCGCAACCCGTGCGGAAAGGCACAGAGCAGCTTAGAGAAGAGCGATAGGGAGGTTTGACAGAGGAGAATGAGGCGGCGCTTGGTGCATAGAAAGTGCCTTGCCCTCTCTCATGAGGCTAGACCCCAAGGAGGTCATCCCATGCGGCTGATGCGTGGGAGAGTTGGGGAGATTAAAAGGAAGGGCTTCTTCGCAGAGCAGAGTTATTCTCTGGGTTCCTTCCCACAAGAGGGAGCAACGTAAGACAAATTCGTGGTGCAGAAGGAGAGCAAAGCTACTAGTCCTGATGGCCAAATGCCACCTCCAGGTCAGAGGCAGTGTTCCTGTGGACACTGGCTGCTGGGGAACATGGGTGGGAGGACACTCCCGGTGCATTTCCTGGGAGAGCTAGCTGGCCACTGCGCAAACTGAGTCTCAGAAGAGAAGGGCCATGGGTTCTTCTTAGCCTTACGTAAGGGATTGTAAGAACCCCACAGAAGCCATCTGGATGCCCTCCTGCAGGCCCACCAGCTCGCCTGAAAAGGCACTGCCAGTGACTTCGAGGGGTCTGAGTTAAGGTTCGGGTTCAAGCCCATCTACCTCCACAAAGTTGTCTATTGTCTCTGTGAACACTGAGCAGGCCTGTCTTACGCAAGGAAGAGAGGGTGCGGGGGAACACGCCCTGCTCTGGCAGCGGTCACAGAGCTGCCACGCACAGAAGCAAGAATTAAAATCAGCAGAGGTGCACAATGGAGGGCGGCGTCCTCGGCAGCCTTGTCCAGACAAAGACCCTGAGTGCCAAGCCGAGGCAGAATGGGAGACCTTTGCAGTCGGTTCTTCTCCAAAATTGTCAGAGAAACACAATCTGGCTTTTAGGGCATGTGGAGAAGATAGTGGAGAAATTCCTGAGGAATCATGCTGGGCATGAATAGCACTAATTAGAACATCTTTGAGTAAAAGTAGCATCTTTTTGCTTAGAAGTGCAAGACCTGTAGCAGTGATGGAGAATCACCAGCCACAGCAGCTCTCCAGAAAAACACCAGGCAGGAGTTTCTTCAGCCCCCTCTGGAGATACTACAGGGGTTGAACTGCAACCCTTCTGCATTTGAAGCAGGTGTATCCCTGCAGAGTTACATCACTTCTCTAGGTTTCTAGTCCTCATGGTTCTGAATAAAGGGCAAAGTTAAAGAGGAGCATGGGATGATGCCTGATACTGAGCAGGGCTCATCTGCTCTAATACAGTCAACACGGACAGGTAGCAATACTCTCCAGGGACTGGGCCCAGGCATTCTTCCAGCAATGCCGGAGATTTGGGGGAGTGACCCGCCAGCCCTTGCATGAAAAGCCAGGGGTTCCATCTCTGAGTTACAACCCTTCCTGAACCCATTCAGTGGATTCCTGCAAAAGGCAAAATGTTTGCCAGGAAAAGTTCCCTTAAAAAGCCCTGGAAAGAATCTTTTTAATCTCCCTGGATAAAGTGCTGCAGAGCCAGAGTTACAGTCCTTTGAAAGCTCGAATCGAGTGAATGCGTTCATCCAAAACTGCTCATATTAATCTGGATCCTGTGATAGAACCGAGCATCAGAGAACTACCCATGATTCAACAGCGAGCCACATCCAACCCATACTACACCCTCGAGTAAGTTTATAAAGCTTACACCTGAGTAAACATTGCAAAATTTCTGCCTCAGCTGTACCATGGCTGCCCTTTCAAGAGCTTTAGGAAGCTTCCCTTGGGTCATGTTTTAGCCGAGCCTTTCACCGGTTTTGCCTTGGCCCCCAACGAAGTGCGTGGCTTCCCCAAGAAGTCATTCCTAATGCCCCCCCAGCCAACTTTCAAGAAGAACATCGGGGAAGATTGAGCTGTCCTGGAGGCCTCTGAAAAGCATGGCCCTGATTCTCACCGCTTCTTAGGGAAAACATGTACAAGTTTGCCCTGGCCACTCCTCTGAAACAGACTGCAGAATTCGCGAATGATTCTCCAAAGGGGGTGTTTTAAAAAAGAGAACTACCTGCCCATGATTAAGAGGGCACCTTCCATTTGGATCAGGATGCAGTGATAGCTAAACGAATAGGTCTACTTGATGACGGAACGTGGATTCAGCCCATCTGCTAGAGAAAACCAGAGCCATTCAGTTGCTTGTTTAGGCTCGCTTGGTTAAAAGATGGTGAATCTACCACAATTCCACTCATGTACAAACACCTTCCCACGAGATCAGCGTCCCTCCCATCCTTTCTCAAACACGTTTTCACTGTACAGTTACTTCCTTGTTAAATTCAATAAAAACAGCCACCAATAAAGACCAGCTTTTGCTGGCACTTCATGGCATAGGATGGGGCTTTTCCATCAGCTGCCTTTTCTTGGCTGGCCTCGAATTTTTCTCAGACTTGTTTTAAGCCACTTAAATAGGCTCAAATGGCATTCCTTGGAATTTTAGGAAGCATTTCATTTGCTGTACTTGCTGTCAGTAGATGTGATGAATTTTCCTGAGCTGCTTGGAGGCTCTTAGGCAGTACAGAAATGGAAATGAACACAGTCACGATGCTGGCAATAAGCAGGCTAGTCGTCAGAACCGAAGTATGGAGACAAGAGCAAGACAGAAGACGTACCTTCAGCCTGGAGAGTGTGGAGGGCCACCACCAGCAAGACCACTGTGGAGAGGACCATCCTATGGCCACCTCGCCTCCTCGTGCTATGCGATTGTGCCTGCGCGAGAGAGGGCCGGGCACTCGGGTGTCTTTCTCCTCCGCATGCGCCAGCCCTTCGCCCCGCTTCTGGTCCTGCCCTGCCAGGCCTCACCCTCCATTGTCATCCAGTTTTGGGACACCTGCGCATTCCTCTTCTCGATATTTTCTCCCCCTCCCCTCGACAGAGAACGGGGCCAGGGCAGCCTGCAAACTGGTCTGGCTGGTTCCAGTGAACGGAGAGGGATGAACAGAGCGCGAGAGAGCAGAAGCGGATGGACTGAGGTAGAAAGACGTTTCCTCATGTGGATCGGCAATCTGTGGATGCCACGGAGCGATGATTCGTGTCAAAAGACGACAACAGAAAACTGCTTTACGGCAGCATCCCTTGGATGGAGAGTGGAAAGAGCTGGGGATGTTTGCCTGGAGAGGAGCAGAACAAGGTGAGATGTGAGTATAATACCTGCAAGATGTACCTTACACCACATGCAACAGGCTCCCAGAGTCTAACTTCTCACTGCGAAAACAACATGCTTGCGGGCTGGCATCTCTTCCACTGGGTTGCCACGGACCTCTGAGGAGTCCACTTAGAGCCCACTGCTGCCCCCTTATTTTTCGCACAATACTCACCAGATCCACTGTCCTTTGACATGCAGGTTCCATTTCCAATGAACATGACAGATATCAGCATAAGAAAGCTTTGCTCAAAGAATCCAACAAGCCACCTGTTCCATCATCCTGTTTCCCCACAGAGGGGAAATGGCTGCCTGCAGGCAGTCTCCTAGCAAGTCATGGGGGCATTGTCCCCAGCATCTGGTACTCAGAGACAGCCTTCCTCTGAGCACTGCTTCTTTCCTCTTCCCTCCCCTTCACTATTTCCTTGTGTGCCATGTCTTTTTTTTTTTTTAACTGTAAGCCTGTGGGCAGGAATTTTCTTACTGAATGAATGTAAGTCATCCTACAACCCCCTTTTAAAAAATGGATGAGGAACTGAATAAAAGTGCTTTACATGAATTCAGAGCTGTGGGCAGACTTGTCCTGCTCCACAAATTTGCCACCCTCTTTTGAAGCATTGCAAGGGAGCAGCGGCCATCTCGCACGCCCTGCCTCACCAAATTCCACAACTAGGTGTAGTCCAAGCAGGTGAAGCCGCCTCCCCTGATAATGGTGGCTTGCCAAACAGCCATGCAAGGCATCAAACTTCAGAGGGGAAACAGGGTGTCGTCCTGCAGCCCCACCCCGCCACGTCTGCGCTCGGCCTTGTCGAAACCCATCTCTCACAAAGAAAACACAAGCAAGCACTTGCAGGGGCAGGTATGCAGCTCTGGGTCAGGCACAGACGAGCCTGGAGGGGAAACGCAGGCATCCAAAAGTCTGGGGCGGCTTGGATGTGTTGCACCTCAGGGCCTGGCCCTCAGCTCCCCCTGCTCCCTGGACAGCAGATGGGCCAGCTGGGTGTCCATGGCAGGCTGCCTGGGAGAGCTTCCAGCTCCAAAGTTCCAGCACTCCCCGCGGGGCTCCTTCTCCATGGCAGCTTTTATTCTGAGATTCATGGGAGCTACCCACGGCATTCCATGGGGGGTCGACCTATTGAGGGATGGAGGTCAGCACCACAGAGAGCCCTTCTCCAGCTCCAAGCAAACACTGCTGCAGTGGGTGGAGACTCCCACCCCCATGGTGGGAACCCCCATGGGGAAGCAGCTCGGGCAGGTTCCGCACCTCCTCCCTCCCCTTGCCCTGCTGCCCAGTTGCATCCCATTGGACGGGGGCAGGATACCTCCGGGATGCTGGCAGGCTCGGCCTCCTTGCGCCCCTGCCCCTGTAATGCCCTCTTCACCCCTCCTCCAAGGTCACTTTTACAACCTCGGCAAACCAGCAGCCCAGGGAGCAGCTGCTGTGCCCCTAGTCCCACCTTGGGGGTTCCTTAGCCCCTCCCCTGCCCCCCAAGTACTCAGTGCCTGGCGACTTCCTGGCTTTTGTGCAGGTTTGCCTTCACTCTCCACCCATGTGTTGTCAATTAAGTGCAGAAACATCATTAGTGCTGCATTCACACGATCAAATGGCTGTTTCCCCGAGGCCAGAATGTCAAACCATGTAACCACTATCAATTCTAAAATTGGACAAACAAATCTCAAGGAGCCTGGAAAGATTTGTTGAGAACCCTCCTCCTCGAGGGTTGGAGGAGTGCCATTTTCCTATCAGTGTCCTATTCCAAATATTATTTTCTGTTTTGACCCAAAGCTGGCAGGAATGGTGATTCCCATATCGTGCCAAGAGGTCTTCTGCCAGTAACGTGCACCTGGCCAGGATATTCGGTCCAGACCCGACCTTCTGTTCCTCCCTCAGAGATGTATTCAAATGATCATGAAAGTATTAGTAATGCCGTATAAATTTATACATCCATTCAAAGTTCCTACAGTGGGGGGTCTTCAGTTGACTGTTCTGTATACGTGTTGCATTCTTGTTCTTGTTTTGCACTCTCGGCAGATTTTGCTGAGGTTTAGTTTAATTGAAAGATTGTAAAAATCAAATAAAAATCATAGATATGTGTAAAAAGGAACCGCAGACCCTTAAGGCTCGGATATTGGCATTCGGTGCTTTAAGAGAAAATAAGTTGGCCCCTCCCCTTTTCACCTTTGGCTCCGCCCACCCCAGAATGTGGCTCCAGAGAGTTTCTCCAAAATGGCATTTGGGGCCCCGAGGGACATTCAAGGAGAGCAGCAGAGAGAGAGAGCGGAGAGACGGCAGGGTGGGTGGGCATCAGCCGCCTCCCTGATCTCTCACAGGGTCTTCCTAGGCGGCCATAAAAGTGCTTTCTTCTACTTGCATGTTCTTCTGCCCCAGATCGCCATTACACTTGCTCGGGTCTCCTTCACCTGATCCAACAGGGCAGCTTGCAGAGGCGATCTTTGCCCAGTCTCTCGGTCTTTCCTCCAAGAGAAAAGCCACACACAACTGACCAAAGACGCATGAGGCAAAGCGATTGGGCCGTGTGTTGGGTTGCCACACATTGGCACCCCAATGGACGAGGACAAGAACCCCTTTCCCATTGCAAAGCTTCTCTGATAGCAACCCAGGGAACAAAGGCAGTTCACTGGCACCAGGTATCCTACGCCAAAGTCCTACAACATCCCAGCTGGCACAACACTGCACCTTCAGGCTAGTCAGACCCTGCCTGGAATCCTGCACCCAGTTTGGCAGCAAGATTTAAGGAAGATGCAGAAAAATGGGAAAGGGTCCAGCGGAGGGCGACAAAAATGATGAGGGCTTGGAAACACTGTCCTGTGAGGAGAGACTGAAGGAACTGGGCATGTCCAGCCTTGAGAAGAGAAGGCTGAGGGGGGACATGGTATCCCTCCATAAGTAGCTCAAAGGCTGCCACAAAGAGGAAGGCCAAGATCTCTTCTTGCTCATGCCAGAATGTAGGACATGAAATCATCAAGTCAAGCTGCGACAACCCAGGTTCAGGCTGGACATCCGGAGAAGCTCCTCATGGTCAGAGCAATACAGCAGAGGAACCAGCTGCCCGGAGAGGTGGGGAGCTCTCCCACACTGGAGGCATTCAAGGCAGAACTAGACAGCCATCTGAATGCGATGGTGTAACTTGGAGTCCTGGAACAGCAGAGGTTGGACCCCATGGCCTTCACAACTCCTTCCAACTCTACTATTCTATGATTGCATGTCTTTGGATAGAGGCAGTGTTAGAGAATTACAATCCAGATACTGAGCAAAGGTTTCCGGGCATTTCCCTGGGATGGGCTGCCAAGGCGAACAGGCCCCTCCCTTGGCCTTCTACAGGGAGATATATTTCATTGCTGCATGTGCAATGCCGTCCAGATTTTTAAAAAATACAGAAATGAATGTAAAATGTACTAATGAGGAAAAAATAATTCAGTGAACCGGAAGGAAAGTCTGGTCAATGGCACAAGAAGACACCAGACAGGGTGGACGTGGCCGCCCGAAGGTGGGAGGCGTCCTGCCGGAAACGCCAGGATGGGCCCCTCCCAAAAAGCCTTGCCCGGGGACAGGGCAGCATCCACGGGCCCCTGCACTGCTTTGCCCCCCGCTGATGCCAGCCGTGCCCCCAGGTGTGCTCCAGAACGAGTGCAGTGCCCCTCGGCGCCAGGCTGTGCTTCCCACACAGCCACTTTCCTCTCTTCTTCCCCCACGCAGCCCCCGGCGGGATCGGCTCCGTCCGGAGGCTGGCTGCCATTCGCGGAGAGCAGAGAGCGGAAGTGGCGGGGCTCGCGCCACAGGCCTCCCGAGTCCAGGAGGCTGTTCTACGGGGCCAGCCAGGTGTCCCCATGGGAAGCCCCTGAGAGCCGCTCGGCACACCTGGGCGGGCCAGGCAATGGGCCAGGCCCAGTCACCCAGCGCAGCAGGCTGAGCTCCGGCCCCCTCCTGTGGGGAACCTGGCCTCCAGGAAGGCGTGTGCCTCTCTCGTATCAATGGCCCAGTCGGAGAAGCAGCACAAGACGACTGGAGGCCGAGGAAAGGGGGCATGGCCAACGGGCACCCCCCCTGCTGGTTCAGGGGCTCCCCACACCTACTGCAGGCATCCAGGAGGGGCCAGTCGCTCCCGGGTCCATGGGACTCCTCCTCCATGGCAGCTTTTATTTTGACACCTTTTTTGATCTGCCTGTGGTGCTGAGCCCCAGCCCCAGCACTGGCTCACCCATGTTTGTTTGTTTATTTATTTTTCAATTTATATCCTGTCTTCTTCCTCAAAGGGCTCAAGGCAGCTTACATCATTCTCCTCCTCCATCTTATCCCCACAACAACAACCCTGTGAGGTAGGTTGGGCAGAGAGTCTGTGACTGGCCCAAAGTCACCCAGTTGGCTCCAAGGCCGAGCGGGGACTCGAACCCAGATCACCTGAGCCCCAGGCCCATGCTCTTCACCACTGCACCACACTGCCTCTCCCAGCAGGCTCAAGATGTGCCTTGCAATGGGTGAAGGACCCACTCAGTGCAGGCATTCCCCCCCCCCCGTCCCTACAGTCCCTACAGCTCAATTTATAGCTGTGCGGTAGCTAGCATGCAATGGCAGCCATGCTAAGCTGGCAAGGCTCCGGCCTGCAGCTGGATGGGCGACTGCATGTGGATGCTGACTGCTATGGATTATTCAAAAAGCGTGGATACATCTCCTCATCCCCCTCTTTTTCCCCAGAGAGGTCCGCCTGGTGCTGTCGTTATTTGTTTTTTGGCACCAGGCCAAGACCTTTTTATTTAAATGATATTTTAAATGTTAATTGTTGTTTTTATTTATTGGTTTTAAACTATTGTCGAGATGCTCTGAATTTTTAATGTTATTCTATGTTGTTTATCTTCTTTGTAAGCCGCCCCGAGGCTTTCTGCGATGGGGGCGGCATAAAAATGCTATAAATAAATAAATAAATAAATAAATAAATAACTAACTAACTAACTAACTAACTAACTAACTAACTAAATAAATGCAGGCCCGTGGCCGCCTCCTGGCCGCATCATCTGCCACACCTTGCACAGGTGAGCAGCTGGAGCTTCTGCCGTGTGTGTGCCTTCAGGCAAGATTCCCAGGCGCACAGGAGAAGCCGACCGTTTTGGTGGGACTGGCAGCTCGGGCTCCGACGAGGGGATGCACGAGGGGTCGGGTGAGCCGGGCAGGCCTGGCCGCCCGGACACTGGTCACGAAATGGCGGTGGTCACGAACGCAGCCCGGGCTGCTGTCCCCGTCCGTGCCCACTCGGGACAAGGCTGCTTCAAGGCCAGCCAAGCGGCCCCGTCAAGCTGCCCGTGGGAACGAAGAGAGAGGAGCTAGAGATGTGGTCTCTCGGACGGAGGAGTGGACCCAAAGGCCCATCATCCCAGCCACAGGGTGGCCCAGGTGGCGTCTTGGAGTGGAGAACACAGGTGTGCCTGGTGCCACAGAGCCCCTCCTTCCAGAGACGGGCTCAGAAGGGTTCGTGAGCAAAGCTTTGGGTGGAGGGGGCAGACAGGGGTCAGCATAGCGCTTTGCCGATGCTCAGAGACTTCTGTGCAGAATAAAGGCGTTACAGGAAGCACTGGAGAGTCTGTCTGGCTGGGGAGGGAACGCCTCACTCACGGCGCTGGAGATGCCCCACTGGGCCCTGGCTGGGCCCCCTGGGTGGAGCGCACTCACGGCCCTCGATGACTCATGGGCTGCCACGCTTCAGTGGTGGGGAAGTACTTCCGACATCGGCCACCCGAGGCCAATCCCGCTGCGACGGATGGTGGGGTGGCCAGAAGATACGCCCCAACATGATCCGAAATATTAGTCACCCTTGTGTACACGCAGCCAACCATGTTTCTTCCCTCCCGGGCAGCTGCACTCCAGGCAGTCTTCCCCCCGGTTTGTTTTGCTTTGGAAGCTTTCAAAACTGGGTGTGTGGGGCAGGATCCGAGAGCACCGCGTTGGTTGCCGTGCCCTTTGGCTGTTACAGGGAAGGCCATGGGCTTCCTGTCCTCCCAGCAGGGCACAAGAGCGGCTGCAGGGATGGTGGGGGGGGGGGGGGTTTTTTTGTCAGGACTCCTTTGGGGGAGATAATCTGTCAGGGGCTGCATGCTGGTGATGGCCGGAGCTGGAGTGGGTTGTGATGCTTGCCAAGGTCAAGGCACCTTCGTCACTTCTCCCTCTATCAATCCCTCTCTCTCTCTGTCTTTGCCTCCCTTCTTCTTCAAGCCACCTTCTCTTTCTCTCTCTCTCGAACTGGGTTCAGATAACAAGAAAACCTGCAATCAAGGGTGGACTGTATGGGCTGAATGTGGGTTGCTGCTGAACCAGGGTTCTCACGCCATGATGAAAACCCATGGGTTGTTGCTGGGGTGTGAACTGTAGGGTTGCTCACTACGGTTTGCTGCCTCAGTTTATTTATTTATTATTTATTAAAACATTTTTATGCCGCCCCATTCGCCAAAGTTCTGTTTGGCAAGCTCATTTTGACGACGACCCACAGGTCGGCAGCAACCCCTGTGCAACCCATGCTTAGCCACTGCGGTGCCGGTCCCAGCCTCTGGCCACCCCCTCCCTCCCCTTCCCAGCCCCTCCTTCCTTCCGGCTTTGGGCCCAGTCCCACCGCTCCGCTCCTCAGAGGCCCAGGGCTGGCTACGCCATGGCCCCATGCGCGCGCACGGGGAAAGGCGCAAGTCATGAGCCCGCTTTGCCATGCTCGCCAGGCTGCTTTGGTTTGTTGAAGAAAGGGGGGTGCGGAGAGGCGGGGACCGGCGGCTCCTCCTGGTGTGCTGTGCTGGGAGTCCAAACTGGAACACTGAGGAAGACAAACCTTAAAACCCCTCCCCACATTGTGGCCCCAGTGCCCCCCCCAGCCTTGGCTGCCAATGGAGGTTTCCATCAATCCAGTGCCTGGGGCCATCTTTGGCGGCAGGGAGTGAGATACTTCTGGGAAGCAAAGGGCTAAACCTCCCCCATGAACCCCCCCTACACACACACACACACACACGAACGTGTCTCCTCTCATCCTGCAGCCAGGCTTTCAAAACCCTCCCTCCCACCCAAGGAAGCCTTTTAAAAACCAGTTTGCAGCAGGGCAGAATGATCGGCGAGCATCCAGGTGTGTCTCTGAGTATCTGTGCAGGTGAATGAAGAAGCGAATGAAGCCCTGGCAGTCCCACTGGGGCTGCATGCCAGCCGTGGGGGGGGTCCAGCCAAAGGGGGGCACACAGTGCAGGCTCAGGCTCCTCCGTGTTGGGGGGCAATGTGTCCCCTCCGGGTTGCAGGCTAAGCTTTCAAGAAGCGACCTGTGGTACAGAACCGATTTGTGGGGGGACATGGCTCAGCACCAAGGAAGGCTGCTTTAAAGTTCAGGCTGAACCCCAGAATAGCTACCCACCTCCGCGGAAACTGGAACCATCGAGGCAAAGAAAGCCCCTTCCCTGGTTTGAAACAAGGAAACACGCCAGACTAAACCCACTTTCTACTCCTCCCCAGTTTTCGGCAGTCGCTGCCTCCTATTTTCCGAGCAGGTCCTCATCCCAAGGACCTCTATTGCTCCTGTAGGATGTGTGAGGACTCCCGGGGGGCTGAAAAGTCAATGGATCCCACCACCCAGCCCCCACTGGCCCCGCTTCCTCAGCCCCGTGCCGATGTTCACACTGGGTTGTGTGAGCTGAGCCGCTTGCAGCCTTGCACCCTCGGGATGGTTGTGGGCTGCCCATTAAAGCAGCCAAAGACTGAGGAGAGGCTGGTTTTGCTCCAGAAGGTGAAACGATGCATTTCTCGTGGGGTCTGTGCACTTCGTCCGAGGACTACGCCCTGTCCAGCTTCCAGCTCCCACACACTGCACAAGTAGCACACGTGACGCGATTCGAGCAAATGCCCTTCGTGTTTAATGGCGATGCAGAACCTGCGGTCTGGTCTTACAGATGGAAGCCCACGAGAAAAAAACCTGGCTTGGCCCATCGGATCAGAAGCGGGCAGGAAAGCTGAGCCGGGCTTCCCAAGGCCGTACATCCCTGACATCTCTTGAGCATTGGAGGAGGAGAGGAAAGTGTCCACGCATCGCCCAGCCAGGAGATGCAGGGCTTTCGGGGGTGCCTAGCAGCGGAGGGGGTGGGTGCCGCAAGGCACATGAAGGACCAATGGGGTAAGAGGCAATTCTCTGGGGCTGCCGGGGCTCTAAGAAGTGGTGGAAATGAGCTACGGACTGGGCACATCCATGGCCGGAGGAGGCGGTGGCACAGGGGGGGCAGGGGGGATGTGGTGGGTGTCATAGCGGCCGGCTTGGAAGGGCTCCGGTCGTGGTTCCTCCGGGGCCTCCGCTGGTCCATGCTGCCAAAGCTTGAAGCTGTGGAAAGAGGGCTGGCATTAATGGCGAAGAGGCTCCCGAGACAACAGGGTGGAAAAGACACTCCAGGACGGGTCTGTGCACCAGGAAGGAGCCAGGCGGTGGTGGGATTTGTAGACTGGTTCCCGCAGGGAATGTGTTGTGGCAAAACCCCCAGAAGGAAGAAAACTGGCCCCATGGGGAACTTGGTCTCCCACCTGTGAGGAGTCCAGAGACTGAAGGATGGTTGAGAGAGTATGTTCATGAGAGAGAAGGGATCATAGAATAGAATTGTAGAGCTGGGAGGGGCCAAGGAGGCCATCGGTCCAGCCCCTGCTGCTGCTGCTGCTGCAGGACACCCATCCACACCATCCCACTCAGGTGGCTGCCCAGCTTTTTTGTAGCAACCAGCCAGTTTGTCAGTGGGGTGACGAAGCCACTCCTGGTTTCATGCTGAATTTTAAAGTCACTCTCCAGGTGGCTAAACCTATGTGGAGAAGGTGCTCAGCACCACGGATAGCTCCTGATGTGTAAGGACCCCTCAGTGGCTACGTAATCAGTGGCTGCAGGTCAAAGTACACCCAGGCGCTACACTCAACGTCCGGGATCCACCCCCGAGGAAGCCTTGGTTGGTGGAAACAGAGAGGGGGGTCTCCTCCGTGTGGACCCCAGCCGTAGATCGAGCTCCTTGCCAAGACCGACCGGGTGCCAATTCACTCATCCTCCTGGTGCCGTGTGAACACTCCCTGGCGGCTGATCTGGAGTCTCTCAGGTGGAAGAAGGACCAGATGGGCTCTCCGTGGCTCTCAAGGAAAACACCAGCCCAGCAGCTGGGAAGAAGATTTCGGAGAAACCTCCCAGCAGCCAGCACCGCCGAACAGCGGTGCTGACAGCCATGGGAAGGGACGGTTCTCCTTTGCTGGAGGTGGCCTTGGTCAGGGCCAGGGATGCTGCCCTAGGCGGGGGGGGGGGGGGGGACTAGATGATCTCCACAGCCCCTCTGCATTCTGTGATGGTGCATTTAGGAAAAGGAGGGCTCTTTCTTATCCGTTTTGTGCTTTAATAAGGAGAGCAGCAGATGCAAAGTGGTGCAGAGCATTAACACACCCATCTGGGGGCCTGGTTCTGCCCTCGTTAAACCAAGCTTGAAGCACACGGCCCTTTGAGGAGAGGACTACCCAGCCATCCTCTGTGCTCCTCCCACGGGCTTACCATTCATAGCAGACAGTGCTGAGGAAACCGATGGTGACGACCCCACAGAGGGAGGAGAGAATCACGGTGATGACAATCATGTCTCCGCTCCGTCTTCCGGGCCAGGTGTCCACCGCCCTCCACAGCTGAGCTGGAACGCACAACCGAGCCAAGTGCTGACGCTTTTCCTCCCCAGCCACACCACCTGTGCTGAGCTTCTTTCTGACTGACCTTCTGCAAAGGCAGCTTTTCCTAACTCAGTGGTGCAGGTAAGAGCACAGATTCCTGTAAATCTGAGCTGCAGATTTGTGGAGAACCAGCTTTTTCTGAGCTGAGTGTATTTTGCAGACCAACTGCCAATGGAAAGCCCGCAGAAGCACCTTCCCGCCCATGTTCGCCAGCAACTGGTTCACTCAGCTTCCAGTGCTGGAGGTAGCATAAAGCCACCAGAATTAGGAGCCATGGATAGCCTTCTCCTCCAGGAACGGGTCCAATCACCTTTTAAAAAGGTAAAGCTTTCCCCCTGACATTAAGTCCAGTCATGGCTGACTCTCGGGGGCGGTGCTCATCTCCGTTTCCTCACGAGGGAGCCTGCGCTTGTCCGCAGACAGTCTCCGTGGTTGTGTGGCCAGCATGACTAAACACCAAGGTGCAGGAACGCTGTTACCTGCCCACCGAAGTGGCACCTTTTCATCTACTCGCATTTGCATGCTTTTGAACTGCAGGGTTGGCAGGAGCTGGGACGGAGCAAGGGAGCTCACCCCGTTGTGCAGATTCGAACCGGAGTCCTTTCGATCAACCAGCCCAGCAGCACAGCGGTTTAAACCACTGCGCCACCTGCAGTCCAAATCCCCTTTTAGAACCGTCCAAATCGGGGGATAAACTATCACAAACCAGCAACAACCCATGGCTAGCTTGTGCAGCTAGGTTCAGACGTCACAAGAACCCCTGCTTCAGAGAGAACCCACAGTTCGACCACAGCCCGACCGCCACTGAGATTCAAGGGCCAAGTGTAGCCTTTCATGTCACCTGAAGCCAGTCAGAATACGAATAACTCTCAGCAGCGTTGGGGTAACTTTAGGAGGGCCCCTCAGTGCACTTGCCGGACAGCCCGGGACTGCAGGCACTTCTAGGAGCTTTATCTCCACTGGGGACAAAATTTCATTGTCCCTGTCGTCCATCCCAGACCCCAAAATAGTTGCATTACAACATGCAGCAGCGGATGGTTGCTGCTGAGTGCCGTTTCTTCGGCGCTCCTGTGAGGAGCGCAGCCCATCTCAGAGGGAACGGGTGGGGATGGCATTCCTGTGAGCCCCAGAGACACTACACCACCCCCAGATCCCTGGAGTCTGGCGGCCAAGGCGTTATTTAAAACACATGTGTGCTTCTTAAAGAAATCACACCAGGGTGTCTCTTTGTAGGGATTGCGCTGTGCATTGTGTGCGCTGCAGAGATAAGGAGGGGAGAGCACACGGCGGGGAAGGGACTGGAACTGCGGCAAGGAGAGAGAGTGAGGGGCTGCTCTCTCCGGCACCAGGGTAGGCATGCCCAGGCCCCGCGCAGGGCTCCTGCTTCAGCAGGGGTCCCCCAGAAAGAACCCCCGGAGCTGCTCCTCCTCTTCCCCACTGTGACCCACTCTGTCACCTGCCTCTTGCTCTGGTCCAGACGGCGCTGGTGTAGCAAGTGGGTCGTGTCCCCCTTTGCTGAGATCCCCGGGCCGTTGTTATCAGATTCTGAAGGTGAGGACGCCGAGGAAGAGGCGATGGAGGGCAGGAGCCTCCAGAGCTCCGGAGATTTCCCAGGCCGAGCGTGAAAGCCGGCCTGCTTGGGAAGAGGCAGAGGACGAGGAGCTGCTGCCTTGCCTGGTCCCTGGCCCGCGACGAGGCATCAGGAGAGACGAGCTGCCCGGGGAGGGGCTTCTGTGGGTCCCGCTGGCTGGCTCAGGGTGGAGCCTGCAGTGTGAATCACAGCAAGGCATTGGGAAGACGTTTCCAGTTTGGGCTCAGCACTCTTGACATGAGCAGAGGCTCATCGTTCAGCTTGCTAGGGGCTTTTGGGGCTGCACCGTCTCGTGAGCTCACGACATCCGGTCGTGGGAGGTGAGGCCGTGGCCAGCTGTTTCGCTGCCTCTCTGCCTGCCAACATGGTAGCCTTGATGAGGAAGATGGGCTAGTGAGCATGGCAGTGAGGGGGCAGACTCATGGCAGACTCAAGCGCCCCCAGAACCCGGAGCTGGCCCTGTTCTTTGCCATTTGGGCATAAATGGAACAATGGCGGATCGCCCATGGCCCCGGTTCAGCTGCAGAGAGAGAGCAGGAAGACCAAGGATTTCAGGACACCTTTTGTCAACCTGAGACCCTGGATGCATTGGCCTAAACCCCCATGACAATCAGGACAGCACTTCCCATTGGGGGTAATGGGAGTTGTAGTCCAACACACAAGGCACCAGGTTAGGGTGGGCTTTCTCAGCCTGCAGAAAAGGCTGATTGCTTGAAATGAAAATATAATTCCTGAAATGGATCGCTCAGTTCTCCACCCAAGCAATTGAACTTCCATCCTGATATCTGCCCATCTCTCTCTCTTCACCTCCACTAATGTACCTTTGTTCAGCGTAATTGGGCCCGACCACCTCGTTTCTGCTTTAGAACCGCTGGAATCTATGACCAGGAATTTCACTCTAGGGAGAAATGAAAGACAAGACTGAGTCTCTCCGTTGCTCAGCAGTGCTGTTCTCGTGCGAGTGCCCACTGCAGCCCACCCGGATGGCTGTTGAGCCCCCCAGCCTTGCCTGGGGGTCAGCCCTGCTCCTCCGCGTGATTCGATCTTTGCATTCCCGTGTTGCTTCCAGCCTGCATTTCCCCCAAGGCAGCACCCATGGGACACCCCTCATCTTGTCCTCACAACGATGCTGCGAGGACGACTAATCGAAGAGACGGATTGAGGAAGAGAACGGGTGCTTTGCTTGAATAGGTCATTGGAAGCAACTCGGCCTCAGGAGAGCCAGCCATTTTGAACTTTGGGAAGGGGGAAAGCGGAACGAACTGGGAAACCGCACAACACGTGTGAGCAAGGGAAAGGGGTGGGGCTGAGGAAGTGGGAGGGGCCAGGGGAGGGCGGGGCCTTCTGGGGATCGGGAAGGGCCAAATCCATGGACTTGCGGTTCTTCACCCATCCATTCTGACTCCCAACAAGAGTTGCAAACTGTTCGGAGGCTTTGCTCCCCCAGCTCAAAGGACGTTCTGGGGGGGGGGCGTCCAAGATGCTTCGCACCCCCCGAAAGGCTCACCTGAAGGGCCCCGGCGAGGGCAGCGGCCCATTGCAGTGTGTCCGGCTGTCGTCGTTCTTGCAGGAGGACTCATTGCCAACACGGAGCACGTTGCCCTCCTTCCCTTTCTTGCACGGGTAGTGGGAGAGGGTGGACTTCATGGTCATGTACCCATAAGCGGTATATAAATCCTCGTATGGTGGGATCTGCTGGGGAGTTGTCGGATTCTTGAATTTGGCCGTGGCTGCGGGTGCGGAAAGAAACGGGAATGGGTAACACCGTAACGTCACTGGGCAAAGCATTGCTTCCACATCCTGTGCCGTGGGGCAGAGCAGAAGACCAGTGATGCCCCAACCAGCTGTTCTAGGCACCCCAGCCATGGTGCTGGAGGTCCCCGGTGAACGCCAAGCGTCCTGAGTGGAGCTGGCTGGTGCCGGAGGTCAGACTAGATGGCCCGGCAGGCCCCTTCTGACTCGCTCTGTTTCTATGTTTCTATGTCCTCCAGGCCAGCACCCAGCGAGAGAGAAGGCAGTGCCAGGTGACCCCCTTGTACACGATGGAGGGGTGGCATGGGGAATCCCTCTCCATGAGACCTCCTCTGTAACCTTACTTCCCCTCTCACCCCCAGGATTGCTCAACGTTCGTGGTAAAAACATGTTCAGTGCCCCACTGGCATGCTTGAGCATCTCAAAATCTTTCCTTTAAGATTTCGCCCCCATGTTACCTGTTCAATGCCAGTTAATTCAGCCCTGTTCACCATCGCCATTAAGGCCACCCTGTTACAGTGCCATGTCGTGCACATTTAGACAAAAAAGGCCTCCACCTGCTCCTTCTGCAGAGTTGGAAGCCCTTTCTGGCATATGGGGAATTGGAAGCCCATCAGTGAGGGAATTCAAGGGAAGATTGAGCAGCCACATGTCGGGAATTACATGAGCGGAGCCAGGGGTCAGATTAGATGGCCTGGGAGGCGCCTTCAGACTCGTTTTGCTTCGATGTTTCTTTTTGGTCTAAATATGCATAGGCTTGTGCCTTTAATGCTTGGCCCAAAGCATAACAAGAGCCCTCCTGGAGCAGGCCAGAGATCCCTTTGGCCTACCTCCTGTTTCCAACAGTGGACAGCCAGACCCTCCTCAGTGCTGGGCCCTGGAGTGCTGGGGGACGGACCGCCGACTCACCATTGATGAAAGTCACCACCAGCCAGATGCTGTCTGAGCTGTTGGCAAAGGGATCGAAGATGCAGTTTGGCGGTTCCAAGGCGAAAGTGCTGCCTGTGACCTTCCCTTCCATGGGCAGTTCGGAGACACGAGGTGTGTAAGAGATGACCTCTGAGAAGACAAAGAAAGCAGGTGGGTTCCCAGCACCAGAAGGCTGGGCAGGAGAGGAGAAAGGTGTGCTGGGTGCACCTTGTGAATGGGAGGAGCCACCCAGAATCTCTCACCCAGGGGCTCTCTCACACCCCCGGCCTCCATGTTTGAGGCCTCGTGGAGAACGGGTGAAGTTCCAGAGGACGGGAGGGTGGCGTCCGTGGCCCCAATTTTCAAAAAAGTGTAGTAGGAGGGACATGGGGAATTACAGACCTGTTAGCCTTACGTCCAGTGTAGGAAAAACAATGGAAAGGCTCATAATAGAGAGAGATCTAGCGATGCTAGATAGGGAAGGGAGGCTGGCAGCCAAACAACATGCCTTCCGCAAAAACAGGTCCTGCCAGACAAACCTTGTGGGATTCTATGACAAGGTTTCAAGATGGCTAGATGGAGGGGATGCAGTGGATGTGATATACCTGGATTTCAGCAAGGCCTTTGACAAAGTGCCCCATGATATCCTGGTGGAAAAACTGAGGAGTTTTGGGATCCACCAAAGCACTGTCCAGTGGATTAGGGCATGGTTGACGGACCAAAAGCAGCGGGTAACCATTAGTGGGGAATCATCGGGATGGCGGCCAGTGGCAAGCGGGGTCCCCCAGGGCCGATCCTGTTTAATCTTTTCATTAACGACGTGGAAGAAGGGGTGAACAGTCTGCTGATCAAATTTGCAGACGACACTAAAACTGGCGCAGTGGCCACAACTGAGGAGCAGGTACTCCGGATCCAAAAGGATCTGGACAGACTGTGGAAGTGGGCAGGAGACAACAGGATGGCGTTCAATGCGGATAAGTGCAAGGTCTTGCACTTGGGGCATAGGAATAGGTGTCATAAGTACAGGTTAGGGGACAAGCGGCTGGAGAGCAGCACTTGTGAAAGGGCCCTTGGGGTGCTGGTTGACTGCAGGCTGAACATGAGTCAGCCGTGTGATGTGGTGGTCAAGAGGGCGAGCGCCACCCTTGGTTGCATAGCCAGAAGTGTGGCTTCCAGATCGAGAGAGGTATTACTACCACTCTATACGACTCTGGTGCGCCCGCAACTGGAGTATTGTGCTCAGTTTTGGGCCCCTCATTACAGGAAGGATATAGCCAGGTTGGAGTCAGTGCAGCGTAGGGCCACAAGGTTGGTGGCCGGTTTGCAGGGGATGCCATACGAGGCGAGACTGAGGGAACTGGGTCTCTTCAGCCTGGAGAAGAGGCGACTCAGAGGGGATATGTTGGCGACATGCAGGTATGTGAGGGGATGTCACACGGAGGTGGGCAGAGACCTGTTCTCCCCTGCAGAGGAAGGCAGGACGCGCTCCAACGGAGCAAAGCTCAGGGAGCCAAGGTCCAATTTGGATGCCAGGAAGCACTTGCTGACAGTTGGGACCCCGAGGGTGTGCAATGGGCTTCCACGGGAGGTGGCTGAGGCCCCATAGGTGCGGGTGTTCAAGGATAGGCTGGACATGCACATGGTGGGCATGTCATGAGCAGAGCCGGCTGGAGCCGGGGGTCAGACTAGATGGCCCAGGAGACCCCTTCTGACTCGCTCTGTTTCTATGTTTCTTAAGACCAGAGGGGGGAGTTTGCTTCCCTGAAAACCCAGGACTCCTCCCCACAAGGCATGCATTTTGTGATCGGGATTCCTCATGCTTGGAAGTCCGCGGCTGCCAGCGCTCTGCATGAGTTTTGCAAGCACTTCCCCGGCTTGTGTTAGAGGGAGGAGATTCTGGTGTTACTTAGACACGGCAAGGAGGAAGCGCACGTGTTTTGGCTGCACCACAGTACCATCTTGTGGCTGTGCTGTGGAACACACAGGAAACCCAAGAAAGGGCAAATTGCCAGGGCAGAGGGAAATGTGCAAAGAATCCAGATGCAGGTGCCTCTGAAAAGTGGTGGGTTAAAAGCTTCGTGTAGAGAAGCCCTTAGCCCCGTCCCTGAGCCTTAACTGGGCAACATGGATGGGGGCAGGCTGAGACTAGCCCTGAACGGACTGTCCTATGAAGGGCACACACGGGCACTGAAGAAGAAAGGTTGGGGCTTGGGTCAGTCTGAATGACCTTACAGGACCCCTACCATCCAGTGCTTATGACTGCAAAGAGAACCCTTCCAACTGTGAGGTGTGTCACTGCTCCCCTCTCCCCACCAACATGCCTTGAGTGTCCTGTATTTGTTATAATTGCAAAACTCAGTAAACCATTAGCCAGCCGACTAAGTCTGGAATGTTGCAGTGCGCTGGTCTGAGGGCTGGGAGCTTTGGGTTTGAATCTCCACCTGGCCAAGTTGCCCCTTGGGTGACTTGGGGCTGGTCACTCAGTCACCCGGACCAACCTCACAGGGTTGTTGTTGTGAGGATGAAATGGAGCAACGTAAGCCACTTGGGTTTCGCAAAAGAAGGAAAAAAGTGGGAAATGAGATCATTTCTATTGTACATCTCATTTTATTTTATTATGTTTCTATCCTGTCTTTTTTCCTGCAAGGAGCCCCAGGTGACTCCATGTTGATCCTCACAACCCTGTGAGGCAGGTTAGACTAGGAGGCAGTGGCTGGTCCAAAGTGGCCCAGGGATCTTTGCAGCCTGCTTGAGAACTAGAATCCTGATCTCCGGTGTCCCAGTCTAACTCCTCTAACCACTACACCACACTAACTCTCTGTTCATTATCTGTTCATTTATCCCACTGAGCAATTTCCAAGGCTTTTCAAGACTCTTCTCTAGGTTTGAACATTTTGATATTTTTTATGTAGCCAATAGAATTTCAGCAGCTATTACAGAATGTATAATAAAATCCTTAAAAGTCATCAGATCCTTGACTCTCAAGAGGGCCACCCATGTGGGTGCTTTGCGATCATGGCTGCATTCAGACAACATGCTAACCCAGACTGAAGAGCTGAGCATGGGTTTCGCTGAACGGTGGCTTGTCATTAAAGGCTTACTGGTTCGTGCGAACCCACCCACAATGTGGTCTCAACCCACTGCTTGCCACAGTCAACCCGTGAAGAGAACCCGTGGTTTATTGCCTGGATGTGAACTGTGGGCTGCTTCATCGGTAGCAAGCCACGGTTTGTTCTCCCATCTGAGTGCAGACAACACAATAACCCGTGGAAGTCACAATCAACAGAGTGCGTGCCAGTCGCACAACCGGCGCAGGAGAGGCATGTGTGATCAGGGCCTTCTCTAGAAATGATGGCTGCACTGGCCACTTCTAGCCACCGCTGAAACCGGGATACCCGAGTTCACAGCCCAGAAGAGCAAGCGTGACCCCATCCGACTCGCGGCCCCTGACCTGCCTCGGACTGGCGGGGAGCACGTCCCACGCCAGGATCGGGCTTCCGTTTGCTCAGCTCCTGTTCCCTGGAAGGGGTGGACGAGACGGGCAGGTAGTCAGCCCAAGTCTTCCAGCACCATCAGCCTTACCTATGCCAGCCAAGGTCTTGCAAGAAATCAGCAGCAGCAGCAGCAGCAGCAGGACAGCGGTCATCTCCGCGGAGCCTGGTGCTTCTTCCCAGGAAGTCTTTCAGGCTGGAGCAGAAGATGCTCTGGGCCGGTGGGAGCCGCCGGCTGCATGTGACGAGGGGACCGCGAGGTCTGTCGCACGTCTTCCTGAGGAGTCCTTATCGCCCGGTGCTGCCTTCAGGGGCTGCCCGCGGTCCGCCCAGCGCCAGCTTTCTGCATTCCTGCACCGTCCCGCAGTGATCTTGACCCCGATAGGAAACAGGTCGGGCTTGTTCTTTCCAAAGAGGGGTGACATCCCCTCAGCAGAGAGAATTTGGCCACCACCACAGTGGAGCAAGTGTGAGGGCCGGGAATCCCGTGGGAAAAGCAGAATCCCGCTGCAGCGAGGGATGCAGAATGGGGCGCTCAAGAAAGCGGAAGCAGGCGGATCTGGGAAGTTGAAATGGCTGCACAAGGGGTGTCCGGGGCCCCCACCCCGCAGTGGCGGGGCTGCCTGCCAAGAGTGTGGCGTGAGGTGGAGCACAAGCTCACAACAGTAAGAGCGCCAAAGCCAGGCCACAGGGCACCGTTTCGTTGGCACCTGAATCAGACTTCCTGGGCCGGCATTGACAGTGGGGGGGGGGGTGCCCACACCTCAGCAGAGCCCACCAAGAAGAGTTCCCTGGAGTCGTGCTTATTCTTCCCCTTCGCCTGCCTCTGGCTCCAGCTCAGCCACGGTGGTGCTGAGAAATCCTGAACCATGCCAGGTGACTTTGGGCCTGTCACAGCTTCTCAGCCAGACCTGCCTCACAGGGCTGTTGTTGTGAGCATGAAATGGAAAGGAGTATGTAAGCTGCCTCATTTGAAGCCTGGGGCTGAAGAGGCAGTGTAGGATAGTGGTTAGAGCACTGCACTGGGATTCAGGAGACCCAGGCTATAGTCCCCTCATTGGCCATGAAACACCTTGGGAAATTGTGGGCCAACCATGAACTCACAACCCAACATGTCACGTAGGGTTGTTGTGAAAATAAAAGGGAGGAGACGGGTTCTCTGAGTCGCCTTCAGTTCCTTGCAGGAGAAGGACAGCATTTAAGTATATTACCATATTTGTTTTAAAAAGTAGGCCCCGTGGGGTTTGATTGAGCTATGGCCCCTTCAGAACTCAAGTGCATTTATCTGTTTAGCATATTAGTTGTTACACATGGCCTTATGATGTATATTAGCATTTAAAAGCACATTTAACATATAAATGTTGAAAAGATCTATTCAAACAGCGATGTCTAGGCCATCTAACAATGGAAGTGCAGCATTCTTTCTGTGAAAAAAGTCAGGCACTGGGCCAGTGTGTGCCCTCAGTTTACACCCAAGTGCAAACACAGGCTGTGAAGACCCACAGCTGACACGGGGGTCATGCTGTCCCCACCAGTCGGCTTCTCCTTACACACAGAGAGGAAGCGTGGGACCGGCCCAGAGAGGGGGCCGTGGCATGGCAGGGGCTGGGGGCTACCCGGTCCTTGCTCCGTGTCCCCGAACTGTGGCTTGTGGCAGGAGCGGCAACAGATGCGTCTGTGCGTGAGCCTCATCCCTGCAGGAGTCGGTGTGGCAGATTTGGGGGCCATGCCTGAAATCACGGGTGCAAGTTGCAGGCACATGGGGCACGGCGAGCATCAGGAGCTGTTGGCGCACCGTGCGCCTCCGCCACTGCTCTCCGGCGTCCTCCCAGAGAAGGTCTGCTGGCCCAGCTGGCCGTGCACCGGCCAGCAAACCCGGACGGGCTGGACGAAGCAACGGGGCAGGTGAGGCAGGGAGCAGCTCTCGAAAAATGCTGCCAGGCCAGACCTGACCGGACGGGTGCTCGCTTGTGTAGAAAGCCGCAGCCACGTGACCTGCCACGCAGGCTGCCGTCAAGAAGGCAGAAAATGCTGCTTGCCTCGCTCGGCAAGGCAGGGCGGAAGCAGACTCCCCTCGTGTGGCCGGGCGGGTCTGGGGCAGACCAGCCCCTGGCCCAGGAGGAATGGAATGCAGGCGCCTCTGGAAGCCCCAAGCACCCAGCCGTACAGGTGGAGGAGGAGGTGCCCGCTGTCTCTCTGGGAGACTCCCTGTCCTTCCTTGCTTCTTTCCAGCCTGTTTTGCTGCTTAGTTGCAAAGTCATGCCCGACCCATGATGAGCCCATGGACAATGCTCCGCCAGGCCTTCCTCTCCTCCACCATCCCCCGGAGTCCACTCAAGCTCAAGCCGACTGCCCCAGTGACCCCATCCAGCCACCTCATCCTCTGCTGTCCCCTTCTTCTTTTGCTGTCAATCCTTCCCAGCATCAGGGTCTTCCCCAGGGAGTCCTTCCTTTTCACTAGGTGGCCAAAGTATTTGAGCTTCATCTTCAGGATCTGGCCTTCTAAGGAGCAGTCAGGGTGGATTTCCTTTAAGATCAACTGGTTTGATTGCCTTGCAGTCCAAGGGACTCGCAGGAATCTTTTCCAACTCCGCAATTCAAAGGCCTCAATTCTTTGGCGCTCAATTTTCCTTATGGTCCACCTCTCACAGCCATACATTACAACTGAAGAATTCCAGCCTGTTAGGGGAAGAGAATTTTGCCACATCTCTGCAGATGAAAGATCCTGCCATCTCCAAAGCTAAGATGTAGAGAGTGGCTCTGCCCGGAAGAACCTGGCTTGCTCTATCTCTGCATGCCACTGACTCCGTTTAAGTGAGCTGGAGAGGTTTCCCCAAGGCCAAGGGTATGCATGTTTTCTAACACTGTGAGCTGCTGTAAGACAGCCGAAGGACCAAATTCAGCCTCAGAAAAGCAAGTCCAAGCACTGGGGGGTGAGGACAAATGGTGCTGGTCAGAGGTGCTAAAACTCCAGGTGGTTAGAGTTTAAAGTGTTTCCTTTCAGAAACCCAGGATCTGGAGGGGAATTTCAGTCCTTTTAAATATGGGGAAACAGCACAAGAGTCATGAAGCCACCAGATACAGAGTGTGGGGGTGGGAAAAGGTGGCCACTAGGAAGGGCAGAGTGGACAGTGGAGCTGTGTATCCACTCCGGGTTTCAGCTTGTCCTCTGAAGGAGCCGTCCTAGGTAGGTTCAGCACCAAAAACTGCATTCAGACTGACTCTTGGAGCAGCTGCACCGCCCCACTGGCACTGGAGCCGCAAGCCTTCACTGACTGGGACCGGGCGGCCAGATTTGGTCCGTGGGACTAGGGCGCCTCATTCCAGATCAGCAGCTTTCCTGTCCATGTGCACGCTCTCCCTTGCCATTTGCATCTTATTCTTGAGAGCACACACAAGATGGCTCATCAGTCCTCCTGTCCCACCTGTTTATTTTGCAAACGCCAGGTGGCCTTCAGTTGAGTCATTAGCGCCACCCGAGGGGCAAGAAGAACAGGCCCAGATGCAAACATGCAACATTCCCCTTTAAAAACGACAACATGCCATCACTTGAGCGGGTGGAAAGATTGGCATGCAGGAAGCATTGCAGTGTGCCGGGCTGCAGGACAAGGACGGGCTGCCACACACCTGAAACCAAGCTCCATGGCATTGGAACCACACCGCACAGAGTGGGAGGCCTGGCCCTCGTTCCTGACGCCTGTGCAGCAAAGGCCAGTAAGCAGAGCCGTTCACAGGCTTCTTGGCCATGCCCCCCCGCCCCGGCCCCACGCTCGACGCATTGTACCAGCCCCCACTTACAGCCCGGTTTTTCCAGTTTTTATTTCTTTGACAACCTTTTCCGTCTTTGGGGAAGACAGCATTGTTTTGCAGCACCTTCTGGATTATGAACATGTTTCTTCAGGTATCAAGTTTCAGGGGCAAGCAAACAAAATTCTTTTACTAGAATCTTAAGCTGCAGCGAGTAAACAGTGTGTAAAACAGAGATGTGCTCCCAGGAATTTGGTCTGAACAGACTCCCGGAACGGCAGAGCGCCCCTGGTCCACCCAAATCCACGCCTGGTTCCAGGCTTTCGTTGCAGCAGGATCATCTAGGGATGCAAGGTGCATCTTACATTAATGCACCAAGCATGAAAGGGGCATGTGATTTTTCTCTAAGCAAGGCAGTCTCCTTTGTATCATTGTGTGAAAATCCCTGCATCTCAGCATCAGGGAAGCTGCTTCTGTTGTGACCTGCCATCAAGCCATCTCCAACTTAAGGGCACCAATAAGCACCCTCCAAAATTTCCTTTCCACAACAGCCCCCTTCAGCTCTTCCAAGGTCAAGGCTGTGGCTTCCTTGATGGAAGTCCATGCATTGCTTATTTGGTCTCCCTTTTCTTCTTCCACCTTCCACTTTTCCTAACATGATTGTCTTCTCCCGGCAGCCTGGCCTTTGCAAGATGTGTACTAGCTTCTGCCAAATTTTAGGGCATCGGAAATGGGAACCAGGCATGATTTAAAACAGGTAACTGGAAACAACCGGCACCCACAAAACAGCTGCCATGGGCATCTGCCACACAGCACTCATTTCTGAGCAGGAAAACCGGTGACCCGGAAGGAAAAGTAGCAAGGTACAGGTGGGGTCTGAGCCCAAAGCACGGCACTATCTGAAACTCACATGAAGATGGTGCTGGGAGCAAACACTCCGTCTTCCAGCGTAAGTCTGCCAGTTCAAATAAATACATCTTTCAAGTAGAAGGATCTGCAGGGGTAGGTGGGCATGGAGAGAGATCTCCTGAGAAACCCCAGCGCTATAGAAGTTGGGGCTAAGATCCGTGGGAGCCCACCTTCTCCCTGACCAACCTGCCCACGCTGGTGCCCTCCCAACGCGGTGCCCCCTGCAGTTCCACATCAAGTTAAGGCAGATTGTTCCAAGCGGAAGTCCACGGGCATTCGCTCCCTCTTGGCAGGAGTTCCTTGCCAGTGGATGTTCCGCCTGCGCCAGTGTCGCTCTTGCCAGCGTTCCTGAATAAGCAAGTGGCATCCTGGGTGCAAGTGTGGTTTTTAAAGTTCTGCCCTTTGCACTGATTCCATCAGGATCCCTCGGAAGTAGCCTTGAGTGGCTGCGCGTTCAAAGCACGGGCGAAGGGGCCCTGGGGAGACCTGTTCTCCCTGGCAGGATGGGGAACGGAACCCTCTTCGGAGAGGAAGGCTGGATGGGCACTGTGGGCTGGGAGGCAGACCGTTCAGCAGCCCCACTCTGCATGGGCAAGCATCTGTCTCCAGCCACCTTCCTCCACCAGAAACTGGCTCTCCCCAGCCCCGCCAAAAAGCGTGGCTGTGGAGCCGGAGCGCTGCATGCGGTTTCTGTGCACTCACTGCAACTACGCCCCTCTACTTCCACCCCACATGACACGCCTGCTTCATGGTGCAAAATGTACCGAGGGCAACAGCCTGAGGGTTTCAATGTTTATTTCATTTTTCAAAGCAGGGTCTGAGAGCACGTGGTTCTGGGGTCCATATATGGAAGGGACCTTGGGCAGAATTTGGCAAAATCTTCAAAAAATTAGCAGTGCCAGGGAAGGTTCTGAAGGATTGCTAGGGAGAAGCAGGGCCTTGAACCGCTTTCCCTGGCAGCCGCCGTACCATCGTCTCCACCACTCCCCAGTTCAGGTGGGGGGTTACTGAGGCGTGCGACTGCCCCCGGCCCAGGCTCAGTGCCGCTTGCGCTGCCTGCACTCTGCAGCGCCGAAGGTGCTCATGGCCTTTGTGATTCTCAGGCTCAGCATCTCGAGAATCCCTGCTTACTTTTGTGGAGCGTCTGCAAGTTCCTAGCCCTCATGGTTGCGATGACATGTTGCAAACTGTGCAGGCAAAGCCAGTGAAAATCTCAGAAGTCACATCTGAATATCATTTATTTGTGGGGCCCTCCATTGTCACATGAAGAAGCAAAGAGCTAAGAAATTAGTAAAAAGTGCAAAACGATGCGAACTAAAATTATTTAAAGCCATCCAATTTTGCATAATTTATGCACATTGCAGAACGCAACTTTTCCTGGTGCAGGATTCTATTTAATTTTTTTAAAATTCTGAATTGCACAGAATGCTGCCAATAACTTCTTTATAGGCAGCCAGCACGCTTTCGGCAGAATGTTAGACTTCAGGTCATGGAATCCTGACTCTGAATGCAAGCTACAACTCTGCCAGAGCTTCCCCACACTCCCCCAAGATCTGTGAAATAGGAGCACGACCCATCCAGTTCACAGCGCCTGAAATGAGGGCAAAGGGGCTCATCAACGCCGAAGAAACAGGGATCGATAAAGCCATCTCCAAATGCCGCGGGGAGGTTTCCATGTCGGCACAAAGACTGAAGGCATAGCCAGAGCACAATTCTGCTTCCTTGCACCTGGACCAACTCCACAGCCCCCGAGCAAGGAAAAGCTGTGCCTTGAAGGAGGCGGGGGGCACCCTGCAGAGCATCTGCAGTGCCAAGCTTTGATGGAGAAGACAGGATGGAAAGAGGGAGGAGGGAAGCGGTGGCACGCGCTCCCCGTCTCCCAGGCACTCCAACCCACACGCAGCTGCAACCACAGAGCGGAAGGAGACAAGACTAAAGGGGGGCCGCCATCCTTTTATGCATTTCTCTCCCAGGAGGGAAAAGGTTTCACTGTGTACATTCAGGTTCCAGAGCCCTTAAAATATACAAAACGCTGGGTGTCGCGGCCTTCTCACCACGGCTAAGTTGGACGATCCCAGAGAAGACGTTATTGCTCAGAAAAAGGGCAGGCGAACTTAAGGCAACGGGGCCGGTGGTGGCCACCGCAACGGCCACCTTCGGGAGGTGCCCCTGTTCCAGGGAGCGGGCACGCCATCACCTGCCGCCACTCCCGTCCAAGGCGGAGGCTGCCCTCTCAGGGTCTCAAGCCGTCCTCCGTGACTCCCTGGGCTGCCAGCTCGGCCAGCACGTTGTCCAGGTAGTTGGGGTCTGGGTAGCCGTGGCCCGAGACATTGGAGTTCATTTCTGTCTTGTGGTGGATCTCGTTCCAAACCACGGTGTTGCATTCGCCCGTCGTGCTGGAGGTCCCCACGGTGAAGATCAGACGCCTCCTCCAGGCCAGCTTTAACAGCTCCAGCACCTGGCAGGAGAGACAACGGGCCAAGGTGACTCTCCTTGTGCCCCATGGAGGTGGAGGGGCCCATGGAATACAGCCCCCACTTCCCTTCTGAGACCTCAAGTGTGGTCCGACCCCCCGCAGCAGCTTTTGGTGATCAATCAGTCTTTGGTCATCCCAGTCTCAGAGCCCCCGTGCCGCATCTATGCTCAGACAGATCTGATCCCTCAGATTCTGAGAAATGTTTGTTTGGAAAAGGAAAAGACCTGTGGAAATCTCCATCTCCCGGCCCTGTTCAATCTGGGCATTAAGGCCAGCGTTTTAATGAGGAGTCCCGTGCAGGTATGGAGAGGGGGAAAGGCCTACAATTCCCAGAATGCTCCAGCCTTTTGCGGCCTGTAGGCCTTTTCTCTCTCTAAATTTGCAGAGGGTTACACGCGTAGCATCTTTATGCCGCTGCTTAATTTACGACCCCACAAATGCTGCCCTGAGGATTTCTACTGCTGTGGACAGGAGTTTAAACCACATGATGAAGGAAGTCTTGGAGACACTGAAGCAGGAAAATGGGATGTTAAGCAAACAGTAATCTCTGGATCCTTTTTGTTTACTCTCCCAAGCTCTTGTTTTTGCCAAGCCTTCCCAAAAAGGGGGGAAACCTCTGCATTTTAAGAACCCCACAATTCAGGAACAGGCGAATGAAACTAAGTTTTGAACACATAGCTGGCTTGATTGAGCTGAGCCAGGAAAAAACTGAACTTCTGGGCCGGAAGAAGCTGGACAATCTTGTTCTCCACCCTCTCTGGCATTGGATCCCCTGACCGGGATGAAAGATGCTGAGCTGAACACAGAGACAATTGCACTGCAGTACCTTTCTTCCCTTCTCATTATCCGGCAGGTAACAGTAGCGTGGAAAGCCCCTTGCCGTGAATGGGAGCCCTGGGTTGGGATGCTCGGGGCCCTGAAAGGGACAAAAGGGAAGGGATGCCATTAAGTTTAGGACCCCGCCCCCGGCACACACACACACACACATACTGGACAGATTCACCAGATAAATATATCTCCGACCAGATATACCTCTCTGGGGGCAGTAATCGCTCAACATTTCCAGAGCCACAAATGCCATCCAAATCTTACAAACCCATCTCCACAAACTAAGATCAGTTGAGCAACAGAGTTTATGCACATGAGCATTTTAAAAATTTCAACCTGTATTTTTGTCAAAGTAGCTTGTATGCTTCTCAACTGCATAGAGGTTTTATTTAGTTTGTATTGCACTGAACAACTGGTTTGTATGTTCACTGCCTTGAAATCCCCCTTTGGGATAAAGATGTACTTTATTTGTATTTTTGAATTTTCTGAAATGATGTTTGGTTGCTTAGGTTGTCAGTAAGCCTTAGGCAGATGCTGACTCCTTTTTAATTCTCCATACAGTGCTTAGTTTAACTAGGCTCCCTAGAAATAATAAATCAATCCATACAGGCACATTTCTGGATTATGTACTACCCCATCCATTAAATGCTCCCCAGATGGCTTACAAATAAAAAGTAAGGAAAGACACGCATATTAATACAGCATAAGAAGAAAACTCAGGATAGAAGACAAGAGTGTGAAGCTACTTTAAAGATACTAGAACTGAAATTAAAAAACGAGGAACTGTATTTACTCGGCGCTGAAGGTGCTGGGCGAGTCTCCCCAGAAAGGACCCCCCTCCAAGTGGGTGCTAGACACCCCTAGCAGCCACTGCCCTCCCTACATCTGATGCAAGGAATCAGTGGAGGGCCTCAGAAATCAAGGTAGGTGTGACGAGGAAGAGATAACAGGCTGGGAACACAGGGAACTGTTGTTCAGAGCTGGGCCAGGCTGGGGGAGGCTGCTCTGATGGTTAACCCCAAGCCTGCTGGTGCCGTTACTCAGAATTCTAAAGCATGGCTCAACAATCAACACACGCGGAAGGCAGGTTGTGGGGCGCAAAGGGCACTGGTGTCCCCAGCATCACGAGCGGCAGGGCTGGCCTCGCCCAGGCTTGGTGCTAGCAGCCCCCCGGCTTCTCCATCCTTTGACTCTCCATGGCAACGCTGGGACTGAAGCAAGGGCCACACAGGACGCGAAGCAGGAGCACTGCGGGGTGCTGCCTGTGCCATCAACGTGCAACCCCGTTTCGCTCCAGAGCCAAGCTGAGCTTCAGAGCAGCCCTTCTGGCCCACTTCCCAGCACAGGTGGCCCTGCGGGCAAGGGGGGCACTGCCAAGTGCCAAACAGGCCAGCCTCTGGTCTTCTCCTGTGGGCAAGCTGCTCTGCTCTACTGCCGAGCATGAGAACTCGGGAGAGGCGTTGTGATCTTCTGGAATGCGAAGGAGCCCGGGACCCGAAAACCAGGAAACCACCCAGTCACTAGCAGTCCTCACAAAGTGGTGCGGCTGCCTGGGACCCTGGGAGAGATGGATTTGGCCCGCAGGCCTGGCGCTCCCCACGCCTGCTCTTAGGAAAGATGATTACTGCTGCTCGGAGTATGGGAATGCGGCAGGACTGGGCTGGGAAGGAAATCCCCCTCTCCGACAGAGCAGGCACCCACAGCAGTGCCTTCTACCGGGTCTGTTATTTGTTCATTAGATTGATATGCCTTGCTTTTACCTTACAATGAGCTCAAAGCGACTGCCATCATTCTCCTCCTGCTCTCTATCTTATCCCTACAGCAAGCCTGTGAGCTGGGCTGGGCTGGGATGAGAGTCTGTGACTGGCCCAAAGGCACCCGTTGGCTCCACGGCCGAGCGGGGATTCAAGGCCAGGATGCCCGAGTCCCAGGCCCACACGCTTAACCAGGACACCACACTGGCTCTCAGTGCCTTTGCTCCCTAGTATTTGTTTAGTATTCATTATATTGTTATCCCACTCTCTCCCACGGTGGAACTCAGGGCGGCTGCATGCGGTTCCCAGGGGGTCCCCCCTCCAAGCTCAGCCAGCCCCAGCCCTGCTTAGCTTCAACAGCGTGGACGCTGCACGTGCCGTCGGACCAGACTTGGCGTACGCTGAACATCGACCGTTGAGAAAAGTACGGTCAGGAGGGCGGGATGCAACACGATGCAAAAGGGCTCGGGCGGCTGCAGGGAAACACCCGCGCGGTGGTGACATTTCCCATGCCTGCTCTCCGCTGCAGCCTAAAAGCCAAGTCGCCACCCCGTTATCTGGCCTGCGCTGGGCTCCTGGCAGGTAAAAAAAAAGCAGAGCGGAGCCCTCTGACGCACTGCTGGTGTTGGGACCCAGGCGTGCCTTTACCTGGCAAAGAGCTTGCTGGTGCGGGAATTGTGGCCAGAGCCCACGGGTGTGCAGTAAACGGACGCGGACTTGCGATCCCACATTCCGAATCCAACGCCACGCTGGCTCTCATGTTTTATTTTGCATACTGAGGAATGCCCAGGAAACTCTGGTCCCAGAGAGATTCCCCGAGTAGCCAGGAGGCCCAGGAAAGGTACCTGTGCATCCCTGTACCAAGGACAAATCCAATTTCTAGTTTTTTGTACTGTGGACACGTCACAGAGGTCTGATCGTCCTGCCCAATACCCCAAATGGTTATTATTTACAGCACAATGGCAATACCCGGACAGACCAACCGGGTGCCCTTACTGGCTGTCCACATCCTTGCCATTTGGTCCTTTGTGCCAGCAACGGCAGGAAGGGAAACTGGGTCCTTCCACAGGGAAAGCCACGCATTTTGCCGCCGAGCGCGACCTGCTTACCTGAATGCCTTTGCTGATGTAGTACGCGATCTGAATCGAGCCACAGCCCTCATGCCCTGGGAGAGACTCCGGGAGCACAGACACTTCCATCTTCCCGTTGGGCTGCGTGCCCGTTTTCTCGCCGTAGATGGCCTTACAGGAGGGGCACTGCAGACTCCCATCCTGGCGGAGGAGAACGGAGGTCAGCCCAGGAGGGTGTGAGAGGCACGATTCCTGAGCATCTTATGCCCCAGTTCTCCCGTCCCCATAGGAGCAGAAGAGAACCTTCTTAGCTCAAGGCACTGGCCTTATATTCAAGCTTTGGAGCCAGCACTGTGCAAGCGTGGAACTTGCATGGAGAACAACAAAGAAGCACAAAATACTTTTTTCTAGTCCTTAAGAATGATCTGGTTGGGCTAGAGGGAAAGGGTACTTGTGGGTGGTCAGTGGAAATAAGTTTCTGGTAGTCACTGGCTATCAAGCTTGTGGGCGGGCCCTGGGCCCTTCAAGGAAACCGGGCACACTGTCCCATATTATTAAATTTGTGTCTCACCCAAAGTGCCCCCCTCCACTCCATTTTTATCCTCAGAACCACCACCTTCCAGCTGGAAGCCTGTGACCAGCCCAAGGTCTCCCAGTTGCTCCGTGGCTGAGCGGGGACTAGAAACTGGGTCTCCCTGGCCACCACCCCGGAGTATCTGATGACTGATTTGGCCCCGCTGAGATCCCAGGCCCTGGCCCAACGACCCGGCCTCTGTGCTGCGAGGGCAACGCACGCCACACAGGGCAGACCGTCATGACGGCAGGCAAGCGGGGCCGCCGCTGCCGGAGCCCCGGGCTGCACCGACCACGAGGAGAGTGGCTGCCGCCCCCCCACCCTCCCCCAGCACCTTGTTGCCGCTGGTGTACATGGCCAGCACGCAGAGCACGTGGAAGGCATGGCTGCAGTGGGCCAGCCTCCCCACGCTCTCCGGTGGGATCGCCTTGCTCTCGCACACGTCGCTGTAGCCTGATGGTGCGCCCAGCTTCTCCATGCAGATGATGCAGTCCTGGGAAGAGAGCCAGGGGCTCTTCAGCGCCTTCACCGTGGCACGGGGCGCGCTCGCCCCAGCCACGGGAGGTGCCACGAGCCCACCCGCAGGCCCCAAGGTTGATTCCGCGCTTCTCCACGTGAGCCAGGCGAGTCCCCTGCGGCTGATAGGAATTGCAATGCAGAGCATTGGGAGGGGGATGGGCAGCAGGAGGCCGATGAAGCCAATCTCTGTCCAGACTGTTCCCTCCTGGACTGCCAACTGCTGACAGAGCTGGAAAGACCTCCTGCCTGGGACTTTGGCAACCTCTGCCTGCGGGGGGGGGGGGGGGATCCCACAATCCCTCCCCATCGGCTATGCTGACTGGGGCTGATGGGAGCTGTAGGCTGGAACAACAGGAGGGCCACATGTTACCCACAGGGCTGTTGGGCAAGGGCACCTAACTAACATCCAGGAAGAGGTGGGGCTGTATCGGTCCTTGTGGGGCAGAGCTGGGGCTCCCCGAGGCACCAGGGATCCGACCCATGACCTTCCGCATGCACAGCCAGTCCTCCGCCATGGGGTCCCCGGCCCTCCCCCCCAGGACCCCGCCTGGCCCGGCTGTGTCCTCCTGCGCATGCCCACCCGCAAGTGGAGGGGCGCTTTGCGCCGTGTGTGGAAACACCGCGGCCGCACGGGCAGATGAAGGAGGGGGACCGTGCAGGTCAGAGGAGGGAGGGTCCCACCCTGCCGCAGGGGCCACCGCCAAGCCCAGTCCAGCGCAGGCAACATGGGTCCAGAGGCGAAACGGAGCCACGGCAGCACGACGAGCAGGGGAGGCGGCGCTGTGCTGCGGAGCTGCCTCCCCCTCCACTGCTCTGGCGGCTGCGGGGAAGTCCTCTGCGACCAGCCCGGGGAGCTCAGGGCGTCCTCAACTCACCTCATCGGCAGGGGCCTCCTTCAGCTCCTCCAAGTACTTCTGCACCACTGCTTCGGGGCTGCTGGGGCCAGCTGTGGAGAAAGGCACACGCACACACACACACACACACCAGGGAAGAGGTCAGTCTACGGTGGGGCACAATCCAAGCCAGAGGAAGTGTTAGCACAACGGCAGGAGGAGACACAGGCTAGTCAGAACAACAGGCTGAGGAGAAGAGGTTAGGCGCTGGCGAGAAAGTTAACCGGCACACTCGGTTCCGAGACTCCAGCTCAAGAGCAGGCGGTGCTTCCCACGCCGCCGCAAGCGCCAGCATCGCAACATACGGGGACTGCCCCTTCTGGCACCCCACAGGGCAGGTGCTGGGCGGAAAGGAAATGGAGATTCGAGGAAGGAGCAGACGGACCAGAGGGGAAGGGAAGCCAACAGGGGGGGAGACGACGGGGAGCTGCCTTCCCAACCTGGGGCCTGCCAGATGCGTTGGACTACAACGCCTATCATTCCTCTGCTGGCTGAGGACAGCGGCAGAAGGAATCTCTCCTGGACCCCTGCGCCACTCCCAAGAGAAGACCGTGGGGGCCAGTCTTTGAGCGCTCCCCAGTGCAAAGCCTCCATGGGCAAGCTGGCCACCAGCACAGCGGCGCACCCAGAGGGGTGCAGACAGGCCCTGCACCCTCCTCCCAGCGTGCCAGCTTGGCCTGGCCTTCCCCTTGCGTGGAGCTTTCGGATGAGGATGCCCCCAAGAGCCTCCCCCCCCCCCCCGGAGGGTGCCCCCCCCCCCCCCCCCCCCCCCCCCGCCTGGCCCCCCCCCAGCCCCCCCCCCCTCCCCGAGCGGCAGGGCAGCACTTCTGGACATGACCTGGGAGTGAGCCTCAGGCGCCTGTGCGCCGTCACTCAGACCTATTTCCAGGCCAGGGTTCGTGGGACCAAGAGCACCTGAGCAACCCAAAAGACTGGAAAGCCCCTTCCATGCTTGCCACATCTGGGATGAGGCAGAACTGAGGCAGGGCCCAGAAGCAGCTCTTCTCATGCCTGCCCACCTCCCGCCCAGCCAATCCCCCCACTCCCGCCTCCCTTCCGGCACCATCAGTAGCTGACTTCTCCATGGAAGAGGCAGCCCCAGCCACCAGCAGGGCCAAATCCCCACCTGCCCCCAGCAGCTCTGCAGGGGAAGGAAGCCATCAGAGGCCGTCCCCAGGGGGCCCTTTTTTCAACAGAGAGAGAGAGAGAGAGAGCGCGAGAGCGAGCGAGCTTAGATTTTGCTTGAGTTCAACTCCCACCACCCCGACATTCACCACTGCTGGGGCTGATGGGAGCAGCAGTTCAACATCTGGAAGGCCACAAGCTGCCCCCTCGACACAGCAGGGGAAGGTTGGGGGGGGGGGTGAACCTCATGCCCCGATCTCTCTCTGCCACTGGGATGCCAAGCCTCCACAGCTGGCCCCTGTGCTTGGCCCCTGCTTAAGGCGCCAAAGGTGGAGGCTCTGGCCACCTCCCGCAGTGCCGATGCCCTCAAGCACCTCGCACAGACAGGCCCGTCCATGCAGAACCTGCAGCCAGCCCGTGTGGGTGGGGAGGCAGCCCCCATTCTAGTATCACGGGAGGGTGAGAAACCACCCCCTGCCCACTGTCTCCACGCGACTGACCCATCCGGTGAAGCTCCCCTTCTCCCCCCTGCCACCCCTTTCGGCCGTGCCTACCACGGGCACTGCTCGGAGCCTTGCATCGGGGCCAGCTCTGGGCAGCCTGCAGCCCACGCCTGATGGGAGGAATGGCTGGTGGGCAGCAGCTTCTAATTGCCCGTTGTTTGATGCCGCGGTGCACAACCCACAGGTTCCCCCACCCCCCCCGCCGGCAACTTCACAATATCCGCCCACCTCACTGGTCCCCTGCTGAAGGCGCCGGGGCTGCTTTCTACCGCTGAGGGTGCGACCATCCGTTCACCACTGAGGCCCATGCACACTCCAGCACAGAAAGAACAAGCTAGTTCGATATTCTGCACAGGCACACATGGGCAGCCCCGACACGTGCTGCGCTCCGAGCCGGAAAGGTGCCGCCCCCCCCCCCCCCCCCGCCCCCCCCGCCCCAAAAACCCCCCCCCAATTTGGGCCTCCAAAACCCCCCGGGGGGGAAAGGGGGGGGGGGGGGGGGGAGGATTCGAGGGTGCAAGGAGCTGAGCACTTGGTGCTGACACAGGCAGCTGATCCCAGGGCCTAGCAGCATCCTGTCGCTTTGCAGCGTGTCTCAGAGACTGCCTGAGTCACCGTTCTGGCACAGCATGCCTGGAGGTCGAACTCAGAGAAAACCAGGGCAGATCTCGCAGGCCTGACCTCTGCCCACCTCGCTCCAGGTCATTCAGGCAAGCTGTGTGCAGCTCCTTGCACAAGCAAAACACCTGCCTACGTGTGCAGAGGCCGGCAAGCCCAGCAGGCTTGTCTGCAAATTGCTTTCTGAAAAAGGACGCGGTTTCTTGCAAGGCAGGAGGCAGTGCCTCTGATGCACGTGGTGGCTTCGTGGTGGCAAGTCACCCAATATGCTGTTGTGCCCGATGCTCAGGGCTGCGGCAACACGGGCTGCTGGACAGGGAGGGCACCCCATGGCCCTGCGCCAGCGACCAGGCCAAGAGTGGGGCCGGTGTGATGCGGCTGAAAAGCGGTGGATGCGCTAGGGGGGAAACTCTGGCCAGGGTGGGGGGCTAGAGCCCGCTGGGCCCGCGAATCACGTGCTGAAGGGGGTCAGAGCGGCTGAAGGGCCGCAGAGTGGACGGCTCGTCACAGCGGCCCTTGGCCCTGCTTCCTCCAAGAGCCACTCTGTGTGCTCAGGGGAGCTGTCTCGGGGCCAGGCCGGGCGGGGGTCCTGCTGCAATCCCTGGGATCTCAGAGGAGACCGGGCCAGTGCAGCTTTACCACTGACCAAGAACTTTCTTTTACACAGGAGCAGCATCCAAGGGACGGTGTACTCCCCTCATCTGTCCCGACTTCAATGAGCCTCATCCCCAGGAAAGTGGGGAACTGTACTGCATCCCCCAAAAGCTGATTGGAAATGCTTTCCTGTAATAGGTACGTGAGGGGGTGTCACGCAGAGGTAGGTAGAGACCTGTTCTTCCCTGCCATGGAGGGCAGGACATGCTCCAGCGGAGCAAAGCTCAGGGAACCAAGATTTACGGTGGATGCCAGGAAGTCCTTCCTGATGGTTAGGACCCCAAGAGTATGGAATGGGCTTCCATGGAGGTGGCTGAAGCCCCTTGGGTGAGGGTGTTCAAGGACAGGCTGGACATGCACATGGTAGGCCTGTCATGAGTGGCCCCGGCTGGAGCCGGGGGTCAGACTAGATGGCCTGGGAGGTCCCGTCTGACTCGCTCTGTTTCTGTGTTTCTATAATCACAAGCCCTGTCTGAAACATCACTACCCAGGAGCGTGTGCCGCACTGGGCTTTTTATCCACAGGTGTCCCAGCCAAGGGGCCAATTACACCCATCCTGCAAGGACCAGCACACGCTGGTCAGTTGCCCCCCCCCCCCCCCCCCCCCCCCCCCCAGCCCCCCCCCCCCCGGCGCGCTCCCCCCCCCCCCCCCCGCCCCATGGTAAAGCTACAGAGCAAGAGGGCAACACTCCACCCATGGGCAGCTCCATGCAGTGGGTCACATGGCTTCTAACTGCATGCTAGTAAGTGAACTCCTTCATGGGTCACTGCCTTGTCGTGGCGAAGGGGCTTGCGTGGCTCAAAGAAGCTCTGAGCTATGCCATGCAGGGTCACTCAAGATGGACAGGTCATGGCAGAGAGCTCTGACAAAACGTGATCCACTGGAGAAGGAAATGGCAACCCACTCCAGTATCTTTGCCATGAAAACCCCATGGACAGTACCAAAAAGATATGACGCCGGAAGATGAGCCCCCCAGGTCGGAAGGTGTCCAGTCAGTACGCTGATGATACCCAGCTCTACCTCTCATTCTCCACCAATTTTTTTTTTAATTTATTAAAACATGTTTATGCCGCCCCATTCGCTGAAGCCTCGATCCAGGTGAGGCAGTGGCTGTGCTGAACTGGTGCCTGGCCGAGGTAATGGGCTGTATGAGGGCCAATAAACTGAAGCTCAATCCAGACAAGACGGAGGTCCTGTTGGTTGGTGGATCGGGCTTCAGGGAAGGGGACCTGAACCTAGTCCTGAATGGGGTTGCACTCCCTCTTAGGGACAAGGTCTGCAGCTTGGGAGTGCTCCTTGACCCAGAACTTTCACTGGAAGCTCAGGTGACAGCAGTGGCGAGAAGCACTTTTTTTCAGCTTCGGCTGATCCATCAGCTGCGCCCCTACCTGGAGTACGACTGCCTGGCGACGGTGACACACGCGTTGGTGACTTCCCGACTTGACTTCTGTAACGCGCTCTACATGGGGCTGCCCTTGAAGACGGTCCAGATACTTCAATTGGTTCAAAACAGAGCTGCCAGGCTGCTGACGGGGCGCTGGCTTCCCATTGAAGTCCGGGCCCAATTCAAGGTGTTGGTTATGACCTATAAAGCCCTTAACAGCTTGGGTCCTGGTTACCTGAAGGAGCGCTTACATCCATATATGCCCGCCCGCACCTTGAGATCAGCAACAGATGCCCTTCTCCGGGAACCCTCTGTGAAGGACATTAGGAGGGTGAGCACCCGAAGGAGGGCTTTCTCTGCAGTGGCGCCCAATCTATGGAATGCGCTCCCCACAGAGGTCCGCCTGGCGCCGTCGTTATTTGTTTTTCAGCGCCAGGCGAAGACCTTTTTATTCAAACGCTATTTTAATTGTTAATATTATTTATTTATTTTATTTTCCGGGCCAGTTCGACTCATATTATATTATTTTATACTGTTCGTATGTATTTATTATTGTGAGCTGCCCCGAGGCTTCGGCAAATGGGGCAGCATAGAAGCCTTCTAAATAAATAAATAAGCAAGCAAGCAAGCAAGCTATTGGGGAAAAGCAGAGGGCTAGTACCAGTAGCACCAGAAAGAATGAAGCAACTGGGTCAAAGCCGAAAGGAAACTCAGTTGCAGATGTATCTGGTGGTGAAAGGAAAGTCCGATGCTGCACAGATCTATACTCCATAGGAACCTGGAATGTAAGATCCATGAATCAAGGCAAGCTGGAAGTGGTCAAACAAGAGATGACAAGACTGAACATCGACATCTTAGGAATCAGTGAACTAAAATGGACAAAAATGTGTGAATTTAATTCAGATGACCATCAGGTATACTACTACGGGCAAGTATCCCTCAGAAGAAATGGAGTAGCCTTCATAGTCAATAAAAGAGAGGAAAAGCAGTACTGGGATACAACCTCCAAAATGACAGAATGATCTCAGTTCGAATCCAAGGCAAACCATTCAACTTCACAATAGTCCAAGTCTATGCACCAACCACCAGTGCTGAAGAGGCTGAAGCTGACCAGTTTTATGAGGGCCTACAGCACCTTCTAGAATAAACACCCAAAAATGATGTCCTTATCATCATGGGGGATTGGAATGCTAAAGTAGAAGCCAAAAGATAACCGGAATAATAGGCAAGTTTGGCCTTGGAGTACAAAATGAAGCAGGGCACAGGCTGGTAGAATTTTGTCAAGAGAATACGATGGTCATAGCAAACACTCTTTTCCAACAACCCAAGAGACGACTCTACACATGGACATCACCAGACGCTCAACACAGAAATCAGACTGACTATGTGCTCTGCAGCCAAAGATGGAGAAGCTCTATACAGTCAGTAAAAACTA